GGGCGCGGGAGCGGGGCTCGGCGCGGGCACGGGGCGGAGACGGTGGCCGACGCGGGCTTCGGGCGCTGGGCGGGCGCGGCCGCGGTGGCGGCTCGGCGTGCGCCAGGCGAGGGCGAGGGCGAGGCCGCATGGGCTCGGGCAGCCGGTGGCGGGCTCCGGGCGTGGCGGCGGCAGTGCTCTGCTCTGCTCGGGCGAGGGAGATGCGAGAGAGAGGGGGGGGAGAGGAAGAGAGAAAGGATTAGGGCCCATACGTAATAAAGGCTCGGCGCCAGTCACCCTGGCGGCGCTCGGCGCATCAAGATCTACGGCGCTGAGCTCGACGGCTCCGCCAGGTCACCTCCACGTCCACTTCGAGCCCAAGAGCTCTCGCTAGCGCCGAGACGTGTAAGTTCGACGCCAGCAACGATGACGCCGAGCTAAGGGTACAGATTTTGAAATCTTTACTCAGGGACGTATTTGTGGAAAAACTGAAAAAAAAGACTAAAAATAAAAAATTCGGTCTCATCTAACGACCAGGTCACGACAAGATAGGCCAGGTGTAGTGTAGTCGGAGTACTGGTATATGCTTCCACGTCATTCTAGAAGAATACCTCATCATGTCAGCAAGCACCGGTACCTCGTACATACTCCTCCTCCCTGTATACTTCCCAAAAAGAATACAACTATGTGTTGCGTGTGAGGACAAGTAGTTCACATTTAACCAAATTACTAGTAACTACTATTCATATTTACCGCTTTAAAATAATTTATTATTAAAATACATTTCGTAATTAATATAATGATATTTATTTGATATCATAAATATTGATATTTTTTTATCTATAATAGATCGAACTTAAGATACAAAACTATGATACTGTGCTAGAATTTCTTGGAGGGAGTATACCGTACGTACTTACATAGTAAAACTTCATATACAGAGAGAGTATATAAATATATAACAAAAGCACACAGCGCGTACGTAGGAGTATTAGCTAGAAATAGATCCAGTCCAGCTCAACAGCTTTTAGATTCCAGATACACGCGTGCCACATGCATGTATGCTGACTCGATCGGTAGAGCTAGGAGCTAGCACAGCACACCGCAACTAGCGATTCTTCTAGCTAGATCAATGCCTTCGTTAATTATTACTTAATTTCTAGTACTACTTTTTATACAAAAAAAAGATATGACTAGGCTAAAATCTACTACTAGTAAATTTCATGCCCCAGGAGAAAATTAAAACGATGACCCAACGGAACTTTCTTGTGAGTTGTTAGGTTGTGTTGCCGTGACAGGTTTTATTTGGTCCATGCAATTAAGTCCTCATATCGATCTCACCGTTGATTGGACCATATTACGCATCGATCGATATCAATCATAGGTCACGGGCGCGCGGGGAAGGCGAAAGGCGACACGGGAAAGCAAGTTTTAATTTCCGCGGTCAAAAACGCCGGGAACTGAAATGGAGAGACAGACAGAGAGAGGTTTTGGATTTTCCGATGAGCGCGGAATATATTATATGCATGGAATTTAGCGTGACTAAACACAATGCATGCCATCGTCGACTCTTCCATCTTTCAGATCAGTAGAGTTGGAACTAGTAAGACTGTAGTGCGTGGTTGAGGACGGGTCATGGCATGATCTAAAGTTTCGTATTTGGTACAACACGAAAAAAATTAAAAATTAATTCGAACCATGCATGCCGTTATGGCAGTCAACTTATCAGGAGAGCAAGTCAAGTCAAGGCTCCCGATTGGATCTCAGATCAGTGCATCGGCAACGAGGCTAGCCACCTAGCTAGCTGGCTTACCTGGAGGTGAGAGATAAAAGCAAAAAATATTTTTATGCATTTTTATTTTTCTATGTATTATTGGACCCACATGTTACTTTTATGTACTCTTGGGCTACGTGAAATAGATCAGCTATTTGTTCGTCGCTAGTGACTACTTTCTCTCCTACTTTTTTCTGTCAACGTCAGAATAGTTAGCCAAATATCTAGCTGTTGGGACGCCCTAAGGAGGTGTTTGGTTTGGGCTGCTAAACTTTAGTCCCTCTTAAAATTTTTTTGTCTCATTTAGTCACTTCAGAGTTGTTAGAGAGGACTAAAGCCCTTTTAGTCCAATTTAATCATAGTGATTGAATAAAAAGTAATTAAATAGAACTAGATTTAGGAGCTGAATCGGGATTAGATCTAGGAGCTCCTAGCTGAATCGGGATTAGTGCAGGAGGAGATCACCAATGCAATGATTAAGCCAGCAGAACAAGGCGTGTCAGGTACTGCCTTTTGATTCCAGGTACCACGTGCAACCAGCATGCAGGAGAGAGTAGTACCACACTACTGGAATTGCTTCTTGAATAATAATACAGAGTACTATAAGGAGCATAGAACATGCTATCAAATTTGGAATCTGTTTGGTAGAGCTCCAAGAACATCTTTCAGGTTAAATTTAGAAGCTGCTCTGCCAAATAGTTTGTTTTTTAACTGCAAAGTGACTTTATATTGATTATGCAAAGTAGTTCTCTAAACAAAAAAACTAGAGACTAGGAGCTAAAAAAAGTAATTTATCCTAATTCACACTACATGCAGAATCACAGCACGTAGAGTCTTATCCTAAAATCATAGAAAAAGGTTCTAGTCAGAGAATCGGATTCCATATAGAATCTAGAGCAAAGGCAGGTCTATCAAACAGACCCTTAAAAATGGATATAATCAGGGGCGGATCCAACGTACCCATACCGGAGCAGTGGAACCCTCTGGAGCCCCATGAATTTTTAGGCAAAGTTCTATAGTGTAGGTGGGGTTAAGACTTAATATCGAGCAGCAGTCGGAGGTATGTGTTGTCCAGCCCCCCTAAAATTTTTCCTGGATCCGCCGCTAGATATAATAGTCTGGAAAATAAAGGAAAGTAGAAATTCCCTTGCTCCAAACTTATTTATGGGCGGTACTAGTGGTGATCAAAAGTACTAAACCAACTAACCAAAACGAACTTTCTTGTGATGAGTTCATGTTTGGACACTGGCTCTTATCAACAACTTGATGATGCAATCCATCCCATCAACATTCATTAGACCATCAATTGGTCACGAGTTTATATTTTGCTTTATATATATTTTGCAGTCGTCAAAAAATAACTCTGGGAGCCAACTTAATTCATGCAGAGACAGACGACGGAATCAGAGTTTCCAATGCGGAATCAGAAAGAACATGCGTGGAACTTACGTACACACACACTTCGTTCGAAAGGCGACTTTTCCATCGTTCAAAGGTCAGATTAAGCATCTATAGCTAGTAGTACTACGATCCAAATAGAATTATTGTTTCCGGACCTGCTTAAACATGATTGATTGTTGCATGCAGATGCAGGCATACATGCATGCATTTACCATGAGCATTTGTTCTTGTCCCCTTCATTTGCATTTTCTCTTCTCTTCTCTCAAAAAAGAAAAAAAAACATTTCGTTACTGTTCCTACCCCCGTGATGTCATCCGTTTAATGATTACTTGTACAATGCACAAGAAAAAAAGAAGGCATATGCATGTGAGCATATGCTTTTTTAGTGTGTGTTTTACAAAAAAAAAAAGAAAGAGAAATTGGTGAAAAATATAAATACTATAATTACTCCGATGATTTTTCATGCCATTGATCAATAATGCATTTGAGATGTAAAGAATCGCATTGGAGACATGCTTTTCATTTGAAGAAAACGAGATCATTTAAATGATAGAAATCAAATGATCGACACACCACCTAAGACATGAACTTATAGCCATACAAATTCCAAACCCATTTTTATAATTCAAAAGGAATTTAGTAATAACAAATAAAAAGGTGGCACAGGGAAGTTATCAGCACCTTTCTCAAAAAATAAAAAGGAAAAGAGTGAAGTTAGCTAGCACATGCCGACGTTCACATGCAAAAATAGAAAATGGTTAGGTTTCACGTGCCGAAAAGAAAGATAACGAAAAAGGTCACAAACACAACTACGACATGGAACACCATCTTATACTACTAGCTGTATGTAAAAAAAAGGGCGCACCAATAGAGAGAGCTCTCGCTTTCATGCGGATCTAAGAGGAAAGGTGTGTCGATGCAGCCTTTCCTTACCTCGCGTGCAATGCTTGAGAGATCGCGACTAAACCCGGGACCTTCCGGTCATAGACGGTAAAACTCTACCGCTTGCACCAGGCCCACCCTTCGTACTACTAGCTGTATGTATCCTGCAAAAAACCAAACATGACATGTTTTGAATCGTCTCAAAACTCTGCATAAAAAAGATCCTAAAAAACCAATATTTAAACTTGAGAGCAAACTTCACTCCGTTCCAAGCTGCAAGGACGGGTGGCCGCAGCGGATCCACCTGGGCGATCCAGATTGCCACAGCCGCAGCACCGGATTGTCGGACAGCAGATCACCCGCTGCTACCCTTGGAACACCGCGCACCAGAACGGGCCAATCCCCGACAGCCACGTGCCCATCCCGCCAGCACCCCGTTCTCTTTAAATACTCGCAGGCAGGCCAACCGAAATCCGAAAGAGCTTCGCGCGAAACCATCCGAGACCTCCAGATTTCCAAGCCGCGCCTGCCGCCATTCGCGCGACGGTTCGTTCCGCCGCCGCCGCCGCTCGGTCGTCTCTGTTGAATCTTCCCTCTCTCGGCGAACTTTCCGCGCCCTCCTCGGGATTCTTCTGACGCCCGGGAGCGGCGGCGCACGAGGGGAAAGAAAAGCGTCGATTTTTTTTTCTTCTGTTTTCCTTTTTCTCCTCCGCGCGCCCTGTCGAGCTCTCTTCCGTTCAGATTCTCCGGTCGCGGCCAGCGTCGTCTATCTCCGGCCGTGGGAGTTTTCCTGGGTTGTTTGGGTGGCCAAAATTAGCCATTCCCCTGCAGTAAGTTAAGGCCGGGCGGGCTCGGCTAAACTTCGCGTCTTCTCCGCGGCCGTGCGCGCGGGGGGAGCGAGGGGGATTGGATTCTTCTTCCGGCCGCCTCTGCCTGCTTGCCTGATTGGAGGAGGGCGGGCGGCATGGGGCTCGGCGTGGTGTCGGAGCTGGTGCGGCTGGGCGTGCTGAGCTCCACCTCCGACCACGCGTCGGTGGTGTCCATCAACCTCTTCGTTGCGCTGCTCTGCGCCTGCATCGTCCTCGGCCACCTCCTGGAGGAGAACCGCTGGGTCAACGAGTCCAACACCGCGCTCATCATCGTAAGCACGCATGCTTCCTTCCCTTGTCCATCGATGCTGCTGCAGCTCCTGCTGTCTCTCTCCCTCGGCGAATGCCGACGATGCTCATTATAATGTCTGCTTTTGCTTGCTGGGCTTGGCGGCGACAGGGGCTGTGTACCGGCGTGGTCATCCTGCTGACCACCAAGGGGAAGAGCTCGCACATCCTCGTCTTCAGCGAGGACCTCTTCTTCATCTACCTCCTCCCTCCCATCATCTTCAATGCCGGGTAAGCCAAAGCCAAAGCACGGCCATTGCTTCCTGGCACATGCTTTTGCTGAATTCTGGTTTTGTTTGTGGAAGCAGTTACTAGCATATTTATGAGGTTATTAAGGTTTCCTGGGAATCTCTCTCTCTGTGTATCCACAGTAGACATGATTGAGTGGAGCGTTGCGGGCTGGCAGTAGGGTTCGATCTTGTTTTTTCTTCTGGGCCTAGCTGTCCATCTTCTCACGAATGTCTGGTTCATACTTGCATGTCGTAAGCATTTTTTTATTCCACCACTTTCCCCTTTCTGTATTGGTAGGTAAAACATGGCTGTTTGTTTTGTCGTTGCTCTGGAATACGTACCTTACTTGCCAGCTGCAGCCTGCGGCTGCCGATTGGAATTCTTGACCCTTGCCTGATGCTAGTGAGACACTGAAAAAAAGTTTTTTTACTACTGAAACCGTGAAACGGCAGAATATCTATGACTGTGCCATAGGACCTCCTGGTTGATACCATTTTATGGGTCAGTACTCAGTGCTAATCATCTGACACCATGAGGGACCACGAGGGAGTGGTCCTGTTGCTTAGGAGTCCTTATCTGATCAGTTTCTGAGACAACCCAAAGCCATGGTAGTATGAACTTGCTGGAGGCTGCGGCATTTAAACCTTGCTCTGAAAGTTACTGATGTACGTAGGACTGAGGTTGAAGGGATGCTGTGAATTGTGTGGCTCCTTAAGCAGAAACTGAAGGGTCTTTTGAGTCCATAGTGCCAATCCCCTCTAGTTTGATGGTTCTTTTACGGCTTACCTCAGCTTTCTGGTTCTTATACGTATAATGCTCAAGGTTCTCACAAATATTTCCTCGCCAGGTTCCAGGTGAAGAAGAAACAATTCTTCCGGAATTTCATGACAATCACGTTATTTGGTGCTGTTGGGACAATGATATCCTTCTTCACTATCTCTCTCGGTATGTTGTTTCCAAGCATTATCCTTAATTCTTCCCTTGTGATTTTCGTACTGAGTTGATTTGTAAAACCTGTAATAAAGTTAGTCATTACTCCCTCCGTTCCAAATTATAGTTCGTCTTATTCAAAAAATTTGTGCCAACATAGTCAAATTTAAGTCATTCTTGAAGAACTTTTGTTAATAAAGCAAGCCGCAACAAAAGAAATGATATTTTGCATAAATTTTTGAATAAAACGAGTGGTGAAACTTGAGGTCAAAAAAGTCAAACGAACTATAATTAGGAACAGATTTAGCATATGGTAGGCTTTTGTGTTGTGCTGCTCCACTATGCACTTCCACCTTTCGGCATCTCTGATGTCTGCCACTCAATACTATATTTCAGGTGCAATAGCGATATTCAGCAGAATGAACATTGGAACGTTAGATGTCGGGGATTTTCTCGGTAAGCCATCATTGCGACTTCCACATGCACTCCCTATAAATAATGGTGTCACCATGTGGAGCCTCATCTCTTTCTGATCTGTCATAATTACAGCTATTGGAGCTATCTTTTCTGCAACAGATTCTGTCTGCACACTGCAGGTTTGTTGTTGGAACAATCTCATGATCCCTTCATTTTCAAATAGTATATTTTTCTTAATGAAATTGAAATAGTATCTTGACTCTTGAGAGGGACCTGGTCCTTACATAGTAATATAATGTACTTGTCATCATTTTGTCGAAAACAGGTCCTCCATCAGGATGAGACGCCCCTTTTGTACAGTCTTGTGTTCGGTGAAGGAGTTGTGAACGATGCCACATCCGTTGTGCTCTTCAACGCACTCCAGAACTTTGATCTTAACCACATCGATGTAGCCGTTGTGCTGAAGTTCTTGGGAAATTTCTGTTATTTATTCTTGTCAAGCACCTTACTTGGAGTGTTTGTAAGTCTGATACTCTCATTTATATACTGTATAACTATCTTGATTGGATCAGTCAACAGTCAAAATTAATGTTCTTTATACCTTTGGCAGACTGGATTGCTCAGTGCGTACATAATTAAGAAGCTATATATAGGAAGGTGAGTCAAACTAAGAAACGCTTACTAGTCAACGATTTTATACACTTTGAACACATCAACGATATGTTTTCTAAGTATTAACTTGGCTGCTTGCTGTGCTGATTTCAGGCATTCCACTGACCGTGAGGTTGCACTTATGATGCTCATGGCTTACCTCTCATATATGCTGGCCGAGGTGCACCACTGATCAGATGCGGCATGGAAATTCACATTTGTTGTCTTATTTTGTTAACTTACTTTATTTATATGGTATTTGCAGTTGCTAGATCTGAGTGGTATTCTTACTGTATTCTTCTGCGGTATTGTGATGTCGCATTACACTTGGCATAATGTGACAGAGAGCTCAAGAGTTACAACCAAGTAATTATTCCTTGTTATTTTCATTAGTAATGTTCCTATTTTGTTTAATAAATGAATGCTGACTGAATTTCTTTTGACTTTTTCATTCACTTAGGCATGCCTTTGCAACTTTGTCCTTCATTGCTGAGACTTTTCTCTTCCTATATGTTGGCATGGATGCCCTCGATATGGAGAAGTGGGAATTTGCCAGTGACAGGTCATATACATGTACTTTTCACATATAGTTCGATACCTAACTTTAATATATAACTTTCTGTTTGCAAAGACTGAAATTTCTTTGTTCCCATTTTCAGCCCGGGCAAATCCATTGGCATAAGCTCGATTTTGCTAGGATTGGTTCTGGTGGGCAGAGCTGCATTTGTTTTCCCATTGTCGTTTTTGTCCAACTTGACAAAGAAGTCTCCATTGGAGAAAATAACATTGAGACAACAAGTGAGTAATTGCTGCATAATTACAGCATCTTTCATCTTTTTTTTTGTTTATAAAAGGACCATCTAATTTGGCTAACTGAATCCTTCGATAGATTGTAATTTGGTGGGCTGGACTGATGAGAGGCGCCGTGTCCATTGCTCTCGCTTACAACAAGGTTTGTGTTATTTGCCTTGTCCAACTTCGCACCCGTTCCCTCTAGAAGGATCTGCCAGTTTCTTCTCCAAGTTTAACTCTTCCTCTTGCAACTGCAGTTCACAAGATCTGGACACACTCAGCTGCACGGCAATGCGATAATGATCACCAGCACAATCACTGTCGTCCTGTTTAGCACTATGGTGAGTCATCTTGTTCCGATATTCCTCTGATGCAAATGTGTCAGCTTATCATGTAGCATGCCCCTGCCCTGACGAATCTGCATTCTCACCCAAATAATGGATGCCCACCAGTCACCATTGAGCTAACCCAAAAGGCTTCCAAGTCGATTTTCGCGTCACACTAGTCACGTCAGGTGTCATGAGAATTAAATCTGGAAGTTTGTAGTGGCAAACAGGACCTTATCCTTTCTAATTAGATTACTGACAGGACCATATATTGTTCCGAGAACTCAATCCGGTCCCCTCATCCTGTCTGAAGAGATCACCCTACTTTCATTGACTTTGTTCACATTAGCATGGCTTTCAAAATAGCTGAACAGAACTTTTTAGGATTATGATACATGCCATGTAGAGTTATACAGGTACTACAGTCACCAGATCATTTTTTACCAACTTGACAATCTGAATGTTTCTGACATTTTGCAATGACCATCAGGTGTTTGGGATGATGACGAAGCCATTGATCCGGCTACTGCTCCCTGCCTCGAGCAACACGGTTGCCTCTGAGCCGTCGTCACCCAAGTCCCTGCACTCCCCTCTCCTGACGAGCATGCAGGGCTCTGACCTCGAGACGGCGTCCGCTCAGATTGTCAGGCCGTCCAGCCTCCGGATGCTCCTCAGCAAGCCGACCCACACGGTGCACTACTACTGGCGCAAGTTTGATGACGCGCTGATGCGGCCCATGTTTGGCGGCCGCGGGTTCGTGCCCTTCTCCCCCGGATCGCCCACTGAGCAGAGCGTCCATGCCGGACGGTGAACACTGCCAAAGGGAACAAAGCGTTTGACACCAAGAGACGAAGAAGACGTGGTCTTGGTGAGTGGAGTTTTGGCTGCTAATGGTCAGATGATGATGTTTTTGTTTGTTGACAACTTCTGATGATGCGTTAGCAATGGCGAGGAGGGGTCAATTGGTTATGAAGAAGAGCAGCCCTGGTAACTGGGGGGTATTGAGTTTGTGTATGACAAGGCTGTAAAATTTTGTAGATAAAAACACCCATTTGTATCGTATCTTCTTATTGTATGTAAGCTAGCAGGCCTGTACAACTACTCGTTTTGTTTGGATGGCCGAAATGCTGGCAAACACCGGCCCATCCACTTGTATGTGCGTTGCCGTGGCGTCGACCTGATCCAAAGCATGGTCTCGGGAGGCGAGGAGGTGGCCACCTCCTTGTAATTTTATTTTTCTTTTTCTCTGGTTTTGAAATGGGCTTGGTGTGTAAGATGAGTGTTTTTTAAATGGAAGTTGGCCTATGGCCCATTACGGTTCTGAGTTCTACAATTCTTGCAAGTGTGTTATTTTTTTTTCAAAAAGGAGGTAAGAGTTTTGTCACAAGTTTTATTGGACGATAGAAAATAAAAAGGAAAGAGTTTGCACAAGTTTTATTATAGACGATAGAAAATTAAAAGGAAAGCGTAGTACAGACCGCAAGACCAGCCCGACCAAAACCCCAGCTAATTTCTAGCGTGGGTAATATGTAAATTTCCTCGTTTAAGCTATGTATTTTGTACAGATATTGTTAGTCAAAGCTAAAAATAAAAGTTTGCAAACGCAAAATGTTGGCACAGGAGATATTAGTAGAAACCCTAAAGCGAAAAGAGAGCACGACACAATCCCAAAAGTGAAATCAGATAAGGAAACAAGACCCAAACCAGTCGCCACACAAATCCATGTGACCATGTCACCCTGAAACCTTAGTGCCCAGCACAAAATTTCTTCAACTAGTACTTCTGCAAGTTACAGTTGTTGACTCTTGATGCGTAACTTTCTCCATTTTCATGCCGTCGTACTTTTAGATTGAACCATGCCCAACCAATTTCCCAATTTTACAAGAGACTGAAAATTTGATGACTGGCAGCTCGTCCGTGCACCATACAGAAGGATACTGAATTTGATGATGTTATTAATATTGCATCCAGATAGGCAACACATTTACAATAATCAAGAATGGAAATTTTATTCAGAACACTACACATTTACAATCAATGATAACTGGTAAGACATACAAAAGAATATATCATTCCACACTAGAAATACAAATGAACAAAATAACTAAAGTAGCAAAAACCAGCTAAAGCTACACAAGACCGCCATTTGGTAGCCAAAGCCCACATAAGGCATGACCAATCAAAAATAGCACCATTGTGTCCGAGTTAGATCTAGTGACCCAAAATCTGTGAGATACGTCGTTCAGCATCCACAGGTATCTCTCTACCCGGCACATTGACCTTTAGAACACTCAGGTATCTGCAGAATGAACATTTTCAACCCAAATGAATACCGTTCAACTATAAACAATGTGGTTAAGTGAAAAATATTTGGCAGGCTTACTCTTTAGCAGAAAACAAATATTCTTGTTCTGCGATGAATCCAAGCAAAGACTGCAAACATAGCAGTAGTGTAAAAAACATTGAAAGACTAGGATTATGTTACCATAATCTAAGTGACATGTACCTCAAAAGGCAAATTTAATAACTCATAGAACGTTCGAACGCGATCCAATCTCTGTTGGACTGCTTCACTGTCTATTGAAGGTATGGCTGCAAGAGCCTGCAGAGATTTCATTTGCATGAGTGACTAGATATATAGGTCTGCCTTTTACTGTCATAAAGCTGTGACGAACAGCAGATGCAGACAGCTATAGCATAATACAAAAGATATAATGTTTATATAATGGTGTCATATAAAAACCTCACCTGTTCCAGAGCTATCGAATTCCTGCATATTTGCTGGACTCCTAACAAGTTGATTGACTTCATTTGAGCAAGTGCCTGGATGAACATACAAATAAGAAATGTAAGTAGGGTATCTCAATTTACATTGTAGGCTTACAACGAAGAACACAAGACTGCAGCTAAAACAAAAACAAACCTTTATTGATGCATTAGCAGCAACACTGGAAATCCCACCAAATACGTAATTCCTTTTTGATTCCGTGATATAAGGGGCCATTTCTTCATCCCGTCGTGCAATCTGTTTACATTGGAAGAACCAGCTTACCATTAAATTGATACGTTTGCAGCTAAAATAAAAACAAACCTTTATTGGTCGCATACCTGAGTTGTAAGGGAGATAATAAAGTCATCGGGATCTTCAGCATCTTGATCTTCGACGTATTCTCTTTTGGTCATTTCCTGTACGAATTGTGTTGATTGAATTTTTTGGCACATTATACTTCTAACAGACTGATGCCAAAAGGAACTATAGTGCTACTACCTGCATGTGGTATATCGCCTCTAGTTGCATTTCCAATCTCAATACTCTGACACAATCAATAGCTAGCCTTCTGTACTCATTAGCCAGAGATGCGAGACCTTTTGGAATTGCACTAGATGAGCGGGCATGTCGACCATAGCTATGATTTATGCTCTCTGAAGTGGTTGGTGGACTTATGAATGATTCCCCAAGCCTGAAATTCCTCAATAACCAAAAGTATTACAAATTCATGCAGCAACAAATATGATTTTAGTAGTACAAAATGGATAGCCACTGGCGATAATTGTTCTTCGCTTAAGCCAAATTTGATTTTAATAGATTTTTTGCACGAGATCTGTAGCGTGCACTTTTCTCCAAGTTGGCCCGTGCAGCATTTGTGCCTTTCAGCTAAGTATGTACTCAACCAAATTATTCCGCAACCATAGTTTATCAACTAAAATGGGTGTCGGTGTTAATGTAAATCAATCAGTATTCAGTGTTATTAAAGTGAGGCAAGGCGTGGCAATCCACATATCAAGACCTCACAAAATCTGACATTATTTTACTGAAGAATTTTGGAACGGACAAGGGTGGTACACTAAGCTAGAAGAGGATGTAAGAAAGGATATTTGGCAATCTTTCACATGGCATCCCCATTATGATTGCAGTTACAGTACCCCGATTGTTTAGACAGCTGGATACAAGTTTAACCAACCGTTTAACAGAAAGAGCGGAATTATCACTAATTAACTACAATAACCAGTCCAGAGTAAAACCCAACAGTTATTACAATTGTTCGATGCAAGTAGGATGGTATAGTTTGATCTCAGGCATTGAAGCACACATTCTTAAACTCCTCAGGCTTCAGACCACCCTCCACAACACCAAGAAGAAAAACAGCAAAATAGCAGCAGGGAGGAGGGAAGAAAAGAGGAAACTAGAAAGAAGAAGCAACAGGTTTGGGAAAGCCTATGCAGTTTTGCTCTGTTGCCTCCCCATTCTCTCTACATCATCAGCTCTCTAATCCTCACTCCCCCGCCCCTAACTAGTAACTACACTGCCCTCTAAGATCTATATAATGAACCAAATAGACAAGATTGCCTCTAACAGTTATTACAATAGGTGATGCTTTAAAAATACTGTAAATAATAGGATTACCTTTCAACTGAATCAGCTAAATATTCCAATGAGTTACTAAGAGAAGCCAACAATATCAGTTTCTGGTCATCATGGATCAAGTTTTCCTGCATAGACAAGTACACGAACAGAAGTTACAAGCAGCAGCACAGAGTATCTTACAAATTGATAACTAACATCAGATTATCACTGTAAGGCATTAAACTGCATGCCATTTTCCAGTCTGTACATAAGGCAGCTATTGACCTTAAATTTCTATTTGGGTGTTGTATCGATTTCTTTAAAGTCCTAGTGACAAAAAAACTTTGAAGATAGTACGCCACTTGAGCCAAACTAAAACAAAACAGGCTTATATTGATTCTATTGGCTGTAACACATATAAACCAGATCTTTACAATTACATTATTAAGTTTTGCAGACACAAACAAGAAATTGTGACTAAAGAAGCAGCTGAACTAATTATTAAATGTCCGGCAGAAAAGAATGCAGAATTTGAAGAATGCCAACATGGTTGGTCATTGATTCAAATGGAATATCGTAAAAATTCAAAATAAAACAAATATAGGAGTAGAACTTACCAACACAAATAAAAGTATTCAACAAATTTGTAAATAATAAAAGGTACCTGTTTTATTGGGCACATATCTAATAAAAGATCACTTAGTTCAATCTCTACTTCGACTGCCTCTGCATCTGTTACATTGTTATCATGTTCACTAGTAGAATTTTGCAAAGAAATGTTTGCTGGTTCCAGGCGCATTAAACTCTCAACATCATTCCTTGAAAGGAGAATATAACTTTGCTTTTCAAGGACAGCCTGCAATTTTTACATACAATACAAGAATCAATAACTCTGCAAGAGACACAAGAAAACAGTGTACTAATGTGTAGGGGTGACAACAATTGGAGTCCATCTGTGCCTCAAACCACTTTCAGATTTTTTTTTCTCAAAATTGGAATAAAAAGATAATGCCAGAAATACAACTATCAGAAATATCGGAAGAGGAACTGGCAGAGTTGAAATATGCCAACTCAAAGCAGAGTCTGCTAGCTCAGTTGGCATAATGTATCACTTTGTTTTCCTCGAATGGGCAGGAGAGCTGCATGTCATTGTTTTAAAAAGGTACATGGCGGTCCGATTGCATAATATATCTCACATTTACATTTGGCAAATATATCTACAACCCTAAATGTGCGGGCCTGGTGCAAGCGGTAGAGTCTTACCACCTGTGACTGGAAGGTCCTGGGTTCAAGTCGTAGTCTCCTCGCATTGCACAGGCGAGGGTAAGGCTTGCCACTGACACCCTTCCCCAGACCCCGCACAGAGCGGGAGCTCTCTGCACTGGGTACGCCCTTTATCTACAACCCTAAATGTATCTCACATTTACAACAACAACAACAAAGCCTTTAAGTCCCAAACAAGTTGGGGTAGGCTAGAGTTGAAACCCAGCAAAAGCAATTAAGGTTCAGGCACGTGAATAGCTGTTTTCCAAGCACTCCTATCTAAGGCAAAGTCTTTGGGTATATTCCATCATTTCAAGTCTCCTTTTATTGCCTCTACCCAAGTCAACTTCGGTTTTCCTCTGCCTCTCTCACATTTACATTTGGGTAAATATATCTATTTCGCTGAAAAGGAACAACACCAGAATATCGAAGACTATTTTCTACTGTAATACATTTATAGAAGCCAACAAATTTATGAGACTATGGAAGTACTTTTCAAGACAAATCATATGATTTTCATGTTTGGAGAAAGTATTTCTTGCTGCTGGCCTTGCTGGGGTAGTTAACGGGTGAATGTATTAAGTAGTCAAAATGCCATGAACAGTAAATGCTGGACATATACCAAACAAGTTGTTATGTAGTTTAGGCCTTTAGGGCCTAAAATCATGAATAAAACGCTAGAAAGTTAAAGCAGTCAATGATCTTCAAAAGGCAGTGTAAACATCACAATTATGCATGACATAAACATCACAATTACAAAGTATATACAAAGCAGTGTAGATGTTGGACATATGCGCTCATCTAGGCAATGGCAAGCAAAATGAGGGAGGATCAGCAGTAGGGCGATATCCGATACGATAGTTATTATTCAATAATATTGGTTGATGAATATCATTTAATGAATTAATTTGCGGACAGAATGGAAGACTAAAGTTAACATTCTACCCCAAGAAGCTGTGCCTTAGATTTTTCTTGAAAAGCATAGTATGCAACTACGGAAAATATAAAGCTATTTCAGTATCTATTTATATACTGCTACAGTATAAAATGTTTAAACACTCCAGTCAATCATCTAGACTGTCTAAACGACTCTAGATGTTGGGGTGATCGACTATCTAGCATGTGGTGTCTAGGAAAACACTGCGTTCAGTTTTGTTACTTTTGGCCTTCTGCATTTTTAAGTCTCCCTGCTAATATATTACATATCTTGAAAGTTTGACGTCTTTTTATATATTTCCCTATGTATCTGTAGCCATCCCCTTACATTTCTCTCTCCTTACCCATGTGCCTACTGACCATCTGTCGCTAGAAATTTATGTTCTTCTACAGTTCACTGCCTTTTGCTTCATCCAACATCAATGCGCCTGGCCACAAGGTCTCAAGGCCATATGTGTAGAAAGGATATTGGGAAAACACCTCACCCCTAATGAGGGGGGGGGTTGACCTCTATTATATAGCCAATCAGGCTTGGTATATAAGGAATACAATCAGTGTACATGAAAGGAATGAACAAGCTTCCTAATACACATATATACTTCCTAATACCCTCCCGCAGTCGTAGCGGGAGGATCACGGACGCAAATACTGGACCGAAACTCAGTGAACAATGGAGTTGGAAGGCCCTTCGTCATGATGTCCGCGAACTGGTGAGAGGACGGCACATGGAGGACCCGGACCTCACCCAAGGCCACCTTCTCACGGACGAAGTGGATGTCAATCTCGATGTGCTTCGTGCGCCGATGATGCACTGGATTGGGTGTCATGTATACTGCACTCACGTTGTCACAGTAGACAACAGTGGCCGAAGCAAGCGGGACATGAAGCTCCTGGAGAAGTTGGCGCAGCCAGCAACATTCGGCCACAGCATGAGCCATAGCACGATACTCCGCCTCAGCACTGGATCGAGACACCGTGGTCTGGCGCTTGGAGGACCAAGACACTAGATTGTCGCCGAGGTAGACGCAGAAGCCGGAGGTGGAGCGTCGAGAGTCCGGGCAGCCAGCCCAGTCGGCGTCGGAGTAGGCAGTCAGAGACTGAACAGAGCCGGTGCCGATGTGAAGTCCGGAGGAGAGTGTGCCCTTCACATAGCGCAGGATGCGCTTGATTAGGGCCATATGCGGCTCGCGCAGATCATGCATGAAGAGGCACACCTGTTGAACCGCATATGCCAAATCTGGTCTAGTCCGGGTGAGGTACTGAAGGGCCCCAGCAAGGCTTCAGTACTCAGAGCCATCCTGGAGCTTGGTGCCGTCCTGTGCCGAGAGCTTGGCATGAGTGTCAACGGGAGTCGCTGTAGAGTGACACTCAGCCATGCCAGCACGCTGAAGAAGATCGAGGGCATATTGTCGCTGAGACAGGAACAGGCCCTGGGAAGAATGCGTGACTGAGATGCCGAGGAAGTGATGCAGGGCTCCAAGATCTGTCATGGCGAACTCGGAGTGAAGGCGCCCCATGATGTGCTGGAGAAGAGTCGAGGACGACGCGGTGAGGACGATGTCATCGACATATAGTAGCAGATAGGCGATGCTCGGCCCCTCTTTGTAGACAAAGAGGGACGTGTCGGAGACGGAGGCGACGAAGCCGAGCTGTCGAATGTAGGAGGCAAACCGCTGGTACCACGCCCTCAGTCCATACAAGGACTTCTGGAGGAGACAGACGTGATCTGGAGCGGCGGGGTCGACGAAGCCGGGAGGCTGCTGGCAGTAGATAGTCTCAGCCAGATGGCCGTGAAGAAACGCGTTCTTCACATCCAGCTGGTGGATCGGCCAGGCGCGAGAAGCGGCGATGCCGAGGACGGTCCGTATCGTCGCTGGTTTGACAACCGGACTGAAGGTCTCGTCGTAGTCGATGCCGTGGCGCTGGGAGAAGCCTCGGACCACCCAGCGCGCCTTGTGCCGGGCGAGTGACCCATCAGCATGGAACTTATGCCGGAAGATCCACTTGCCCGACACGAAATTGGCACCGGGCGGCCGCGGGACGAGGCGCCAAGTGTCGTTGTCCATGAGAGCCTGGAACTCGTCGACCATGGCAGCACGCTAGTTGGCGTCAGCCAAAGCACTGCGGTAGTTTGCCGGAAGCGTAGAGGGCAATGATGGAGAGGCCGTCAAGCTCACTGGTAGGACACCCATTGAATGGCCCGGGCCACAGCCCGAGTGATGTGTCGTCGTAGAGAGCAGAGGTGGCGACAATGCGATCATCGCGGGCGCCGAGGTCTTGCATGGGCGCAGCGTGGCGGCGGCAGAGGTGTGGACGCCTGCGGTCTTTGCTGGTGCCAAGACCATGGGCGTCGGCGTTGTGAGAGGCGCCAAGGTGTGCCGCAGCCGCTGGTGTGTAGTGATTTAGGCAGGGGCGGCACCGGTGGCCGGTAGGCGCCGGGCGACGGTGGAACCCCTAATCGCAGGAGCGAGGGACGACGCCCAAGCGGGCCGATCCCGCAGATTGAGAAGAGAGGCGCGCGCCCCGCCTGCGCAGAGCGGAGCGCGGTACACGATCGGGGCAGCGTACTCGAGATTGCGGGTCATCGCCGGAAGTTCCGCAAAATAGCGGGTGATGGATGGCATGCACAAGAACATCCAAGGACGGAGCGACCGAGGCAAGAGTAGGAGGAAGCAGAGGGGGCAAAGCAAGAGGAAGTCGAGTATGTGACGGTGAGTAGGGTGGGAGGAGAAAGGAAAAACGGACTCGTCAAAGACAACATGGCGAGAGATGATGACTCGACGGGTGGATAGGTCAAGGCAGCGGTACCCTTTGTGGGACGAAGGGTAACCGAGGAAGACACAGTGCAGCAGATCGAGGAGCAAGCTTGTGGGCGCCGTGGCCGAGAGATTAGGATAATATGATGACAACCGAATACACGCAAGTGAGAGTATTCTGGGGCTGGGAATAGAGGAGTTGGTAGGGAATGTTATTCGAGCAGCAGAACAAGGGTGCCTGCTCGGAAGATAGGTGTGATGGCGAGTGCCTCGCCCCAAGATGGGGCGCCCATGGAGGCGTGAATCAAGAGGGTGCAGTGAGTGACATTATTAAGGGTGCGGAGGACACGCTCAGCTTTCCCATTCTGAGGAGAAGTATAGGGACAGGAGAGGCGCAGGTGGATGCCCCGAGAAGTCAAAAAAGATGTGAGTCTTATTGACAAACTCGGTTCCGTTGTCACCAGATGTCTTTGCGAACGGAAGACTGAATCGTGTATTGGCATATGCATGTAAGTCTGTGATGTGTTTGGTGACTTGGACTTGTGAACAAGAGGAGTCGTCCAACAGAAATGTGAGAAGTCATCCAAAATGACAAGGTAGTAGCGATAACCAGAGATACTAGGTACCGGAGAAGTCCAAACATCACAATGGACTAACTCAAAAGGAGTGGAACTGCGAGAGCTGGAATTAGAGGAAGGTAACCGCACATGTTTCCCTAATTGACATGAGTGACATAGAGTGTGACTGTCTTTATTACAAGTAATGGATGCTTTCTGTCTAAGTGTAGTGATGGCGGCAGTGTAGTGATGGCGGCAGGACCGGGGTGACCGAGATGGAGATGCCACAAACTGGAGGAGATGGCGAGACCGGCGTGGGGTGCTGCAGAGCTGGCGGCTGGAGGAATGGTGTAAAGATCGCCGGTGCTATTGCAGCGAAGAATCTCAAGTCTCTGGTTGGTCGGAAAAAAATCCTTGAGAGAAACCAAAAGCGTCAAACTTTATGGTGCAGTTATTATCCTTAGTAAACTAACGAACGGAAATTAGATTACGGATTAATGAAGGGACAACAAGGATGTTGTTAAGTTGAAAACTGGAGGTGGGGGTGGTGAGGGTAGAGTTGTTACGAGACGTGGGCCCGGAAGGGTGTGGCCATTCCCTATGAAGAATGGAGGAGTGAGATGGAGGAGGCGGAAAGAAGAATACCATCCGTGAGGCGACATGTGGCGGGAGGCTCTCGAGTCAACGACCCACCACCACCATCTGCGAAGCAGCCATCATCGGTTCAAGGCAAATGACGAGTCCCGCTTGATCCGGTGGGCGCTGGCCGGGGACGAGGCGGCAAGGCGAGGTGCGAGGCTGCGCAGGGTTGGCCCAGGAAGACTAGGGCGCGGGCGACTTGACCCCGCCACATCACGCTCGACGGGTTTCATTGCCTGGAAGAAGCTCGAGCGCCAGAGTAGGAGGTGGCGCAGGGTGAAAACGAACCACGGGCGGTGGGGCGAGGGTTGCGGATGGGGCACAGAAGCGCCGCCGCTTCTTCTTCTGCCATGTCGCTCGCCGCCACAAGGACCCGCCATTGAATGCCGCCACGAATGCCGGCTTAACAGATCCGAGGATTTCCTATGGCGACACAACAACTGGACAATGAGGAGGACGGTTGCCCCGGCAAGCAAGGCGGTGGAGTTGGAGACCTTCTCGTTAGCGAGGCGAAGTTCCTTCAGAGCGAGCATGTCCCGCGCTGGTTGAAGGGACGGAAGCCGGGCGATGGAGGCTCTGGGTTGGTTGCACATGTCCAAACCATCTCAACCAACAAGCTTTTCTTCAATTTCTTCAATGGCGATATTCGCTTACCGTGGTGGTGAAGCGGGGTTGACCGCCAGGAGGAGGCTCGAGACAAGCCGCGAGTCCGAACAGGATGACCGACGCCGCGCAAGGGCGCCGACGAGGGTCTTCATGCGGCCCAGTGATCCTAAATATCTAAAGGTATCCTTCCTGGCGATGGTGGAGTCGCCAACGCGTCATGGAGTGGAAATCATGGTCGAGGAAGATCGCGCGGATTCACCCCGTCGCATTTGTTGGCGCGGAAGAGTCCCTCGATGGCGCTAAAGCAAACCGCAGGTCCGGCGGCATCGGTTGTCATTGGTCATGGCGAGGTCGAGGACGGAGTAGTCGACGATGAGCCGAAGAACCGTGAGTCGGACGCAGCAGTCCGCCTCGATCCCAAGCGCAGATCCTAGGGGCGAGGTGCCATCGTGCCATCGATGTGTGACCGAGAGCTCGAACTTATCGCACAAAGACTTGAAGTAGGACGCCCATCTTGTAGTAGGCAATGGACTTCATTCATCGCCGCGTTACACGGGAATATGGGACTTGACGTTGGTGGTGGCATAGGATTAGAAGGGGAGGGGAGATGAAGTTGTGCCGTCGCCATTGGCGCGTGTCGCCGAGAAGAAGAGCACTTCACCAAGAGAGAGAAGCCACCGGTGGCGATCAGGCAGACAGAGGTGCCACCATTGGCAAAGCAGGAGGCGGCCAGAGGGCATGCACATGGCCATAGCAGTAATAGCCCTTTGGACTTCCGTGCTCCACCACCAAGGGGCGTCGGATCTAGAGAGAGGTGGCCATGGCACAAAGACATGGCTTTGAGGGAAGGGGGGAGTTCTTGAATCTTAGCTTGGGGAGAAAAGAGAAGGCTCAGGATCTAATTAGCCGATACCATGTAGAAAGGATATTGGGAAAACACCTCACCCCTAATGAGGGGGGGGGGGTTGACCTCTATTATATAGTCAATCAGGCTTGGTATATAAGGAATACAATCAGTGTACATGGAAGGAATGAACAAGCTTCCTAATACACATATATACTTCCTAATAATATGTCTCGAGGTCTACCTATTTCCTATGATCTTGATCCCAGTTACATATCTTTCTAAAAAATATATATTTAATTCTCTGATCATGGATGCAATAAAATTCATTTAAGTGTATTGAATACCTCCATATATGATGCACGACATCTCTCATGAGCACGTTCTAAAAATGTGCGTACATACTCCACAAGCTCAGTCGCATAGTTTGGCATCAATTGAACCCATCCAAGAACCTAGGAAGAAAAATAAGGAATTGCAACAAATAAATATAATTAAAATTAGAAGGAAAAGACAAGATTTTTTTTGGGCGGGTGCCCGGGTAAACTACCTCTTTGGCTATTATATCAACGGCAAGAAGCCCTTGAAGCACAGGGCGTCCAAGTTCCACCGATGAACTATACGCTGAGGTTGCATGTACACGTGGTCTAAATGCTGCTGGGCCTATCAAAAGATGCATGGTAACAAATTTGTACAAATATGTGAGAAAGCATGTAATAACTTTTTTGCAGTCATTACTAAATGTTAACAAAGTCTTTGAACTCAATTGTCCATTTCTTCACAGATGGGCAGGATCAGAACAACACAGTAACAGCCCATTCACTGTTTGATGGTCCAGCAACAATTGTATGCACATATCACATGATAATAAAACAAACGTATAATATGTTTTTTTCATATATGTAATTTGGAAGACTAAGCAATTTCCAACGAGGACTCCTAAAAGGATAGGAAAAGAAGTCACATTCATGTAGTTTTAAGAAACATGTGTATATAAAAAAAAAATACACATGCAAGGGCTGATAAGTTCAATGGCAGAGCCAGACTAACCTTGTAAGTGGACCAGCTGATATATCAAATAAATGGCACGCTAATTTGGAAAGATTTTGGATTCTTGATTCCTCTCAATCTCTCTTCGAATCCTGGTACTTTGCTCTTCTTTGTTGTTTTAATTGCATATCACTTTCCTTAACAACAACAACAAAGCCTTTAAGTCCCAAACAAGTTGGGGTAGGCTAGAGTTGAAACACAGCAGAAGCAATCATGGTTCAGACACGTGAATAGCTGTTTTCCAAGCACTCCTATCTAAGGCTAAGTCTTTGGATATATTCCATCCTTTCAAGTCTCATTTTATTGCCTCTACCCAAGTCAACTTCGGTCTTCCTCTGCCTCTCTTCACGTTACTATCCTGGCTTAGGATTCCACTACGCATCGGTGCCTCTAGAGGTCTCCATTGGACATGTCCAAACCATCTCAACTGGTGTTGGACAATCTTTTCTTCAATTGGTGCTACCCCTAATCTATCACGTATATCATCGTTCCGAACTCGATCCCTTCTTGTATGACCGCAAATCCAACGCAACATACGCATTTCCGCGACACTTATCTATTGAACATGTCGTCTTTTCGTAGGCCAACATTCTGCACCATACAACATAGCAGGTCTAATCGTCGTCCTATAAAACTTGCCTTTTAACTTCTGTGGTACCCTTTTGTCACATAGGACACCAGATGCTTGGCGCCACTTCATCCACCCTGCTTTGATTCTATGGCTAACATCTTCATCAATATCACTTTCCTTAACACTAATACCATATCATTACATGCATCGATATGTTTATTAAAATAAATTGACTAACATATCGAGTATTACTGACGCCAAAAATTCTACAAATATATCTGTGGGCAACAAATTTCTTTTGGACTTCTTAATATCCAATAACCAATTGATGATTCAAGGTTTCAAAATGGATCAATCCATCCCGTACTTTGAGGCAATTAGTTAAGGTACCAGGTTATTATGACTACAACAAGCTCAGCATTGTATTGATTCCAGAACTAGAACATTAGAGACAGTTAATAGATGCCAAGGGCACTATATAGGATCCATGAGCAAACATGAGTCTGGGCCAAAACCAATGTGGTATTAATGCTTGGATCAAATTTGCTGGTAAACATTTACCCCATTCCATGAACCCTTAGCTATCTTGATCAGTCACACATACCACAGGCACTATGTGCTTGGAGGAAAAAGATTTCACAATACAACTGTTCACACCTAACTATAGGGGGAAAATCAACTTTCAACTTCTTGGATCAGTTTCACAGTATTAGGACTGTTCGCCCTAGGAACCCCAAAAATTGAAGTTCTGTGCACAGGCACAAAGTTCACGTGTTGACTTACTGGATATGGCCTGCTGAACACATTTTCGGTAATCTACAAATATTGTTGGCAAGAAGTGCTCCTTCAGAAAGTTATTCACAAAAGCCAATAAGCCATCACTCCTGCACACACATGTTAAAAAGCAATAGTAAATAAACATGGTCTAGTTATAAATCTTCCAACAGAGAGAATCAATTTTCAGGAAAAATATGTAGGGCTTAACATGCTTCATTCCTCCAAATCATGCATATCTGCTTTTAGGTAGAAATAATATGACTTTGTTTTGGAACAAAGTCAATCCCTATTGAGAATTAGTTACATTATGCCTGTCATAACTTACTGCCACAGATATAAGGGCAACAGTGCCTCATAAAGTTATATCCTACTACTTGGGAGTAAGGAGTGCTGATATTATCTGAAGAACAAATTTTATTCAACGGTTGAATGGCAGATTAGTACCTTTTTTCACTTATATCATCTTTGTTGGTAATTCTTATTGGGTTTCATCTCTAGTCTACCCAACTTATTTGAGGACTCAACAGTTTTAGCATTATTCTTCTTATTGTTTAAGTAGCAGTAACTGATGGTATTATGGTTGCCTGGTATTTTGCATATGTTCTAAATAGGTCTTGAACCATCAAATATTACGCAGGTCAATCTACTACTATAAGCAACAGACAGTTGAGACAACCGTGAACAAGGTCAGATGCATATACCCTAGCTGCCACCAATGTTATCAAGTCATTGAATTGTTATCAGCTACCCAGACAGTAACTAAGCACCAACTGGAGAATATGAATTGTCTTGAGGGCCTAGTTGCAAGCGGTAGAGTCATACCGCCTGTGATCGGAAGGTTCCGGGTTCGAGTCGCGGTCTCCTCGCATTACACAGGCGAGGGTAAGGCTTGCCACTAACACCATTCCCCAGACCCCGCACAAAGCGGGAGCTCTCTGCACTGGGTACGCCCTTGAGGGCCTAGTTGCATGGCCAGCAGGCCAGGTGATTAGTTGTGACTAATCATATGACTATTCATCATACAAAAAGACATGGGCTCTTGGAGAGTTAACCCTAGCTGTGATGTATGCTAAACATCTGTAGGAATGAGGTTAGATGGCAATGATTCAAGTAGAATGGCACTAGGTGAAGGACGGCACTGGTTCTAGGAGGAATAGATAGGAAGAGACAAAAGCAGGGTACAAGGAGAAGAGACTTGCATATTTATTTTCTGCATAAACCTAAACCAAAAGACAAAATAGCAGCCTCCTCTTACGATCAGTGTCACCACTAGCAAACATGAGCTAACTAGATGTTCTTGTCAAAAGAGCTTCTAACAAATCTTTAGCTAATCTGAGCTAACATTATATATCAAATCTGAGCTAACCTATGTGATCCACATATGCTGCTAGTTCACCTTGCTGTCAATGGCCTGCAGGTCAGGCGGCCAGCCATCAGCAGGCCAGTCAGCCATAATGTGCACACTACACCTTAGAACTCCCACCACATCCCACAAGCACACCATGCGACATGAGGTAAAGAATGAGAACCCCTGGATGCCGCATCCGCCCACTGCCGTCCCTGCTTCACTGATGTCAGTGGCTGTGGAGCCCATCACCCGGTTTGCACATGGTTGCTGCCCTGATGTCCTCAAGGTCAAGTCCAAGTAAAATCACAGATCCTCCTCTAAATTTGTTCTGCCATTCTCTGTTATGTGCAGCTTAGCAGCAGTAACAGTGTAACACAGTACGGCAGACAAGTCAGTCATAGTCACAACTACCCGGTCCACTAGCAACTTGATTCGACTTTACGCCTTAAAAACCATGCCCGGCACTTGTGAGTTGTGACCAAATTATTCCCAGATACGAAAAACATTAATTAACAAATAAGCTTCCAAGGAAATAAGCTCCACCAAACTTTCTTCTTCTTTACAAGTAATAAGCTCCTCCAGTTTTGGTTAACAAAAAAAAGAACAGATGTGTTCTGCACATTCTATATGCTACATGGACTTTAAGAATGAGAGATTTGTGGTAATGAGCCATAGTTGAATACTGAGATGACATGCCTACGTTCCGATTGCTATGTAGGTAAATAAAACAAACGAAAAACCTCCTGTGATTGTGCTTGGTACAAAGCCCTATAAACTATTCAAAGGTGGCTCTAAATTAGCTGCACAAATGAACCTTATGCTTATTGAAGAACTCCAGAAACAGCTTTTCTAGACCTTAGTCAATGGCAGCTTTAAATCCAAGCTCTTGATCCTCCAAAAACAACTATCTTAGGTTTTGACCAATCTTACTACTCTCTTGTACCTTGTCATTCCTTACAAATTTCCTAATAGGACTCTCATTCAAATTGAAAAATTAAGCCAGAGGCACAACGATAGAATAACAATGACACAAACCCTCAAACAAGGCAGCATGGATTTATCAAAACTAGTTGTAGATTTATGAAAGGAAAAAGTAATTTTCGATTTCAAAGTCAATGTAAATTAAAGTTAGGATGGCACAATACCCAAGTTGCGAGTACTTCTGAGGCAACATCAACCCTATTTTATTCATAAACTGCAAAAAAAAAAATCCCCATGAACAACATAATAATGATAGTGAGACACATATAAAACAGACAGCTATAAAACAGGTCACCTCAAAGACAGGACGGTAAACAGATGCGGCTAGGAAAATTCCTTGGTCGGGTATGACACTTGCTGTTCCATACCCTTCTTGAGGCACATTGGAATTTCTTCGCCACCCTTGACCTGTGGTAGATTGAAATTGAACATACATGGCATAAATACAAATTTAATAGCAAGTAAACAAAAACAAGTAAAAACAACAATCAGCCAAGATGCATGACTCATGTCATAATCTATACTACAAAGGAGTGAAGGAAATAGAAATAGACTCTCACTCAAATATTTTCTACCCACCTTGATTCTTGTCCGTTAGATATACTTTAAACTCAGATCTAACGCATCTAAATTTCTCACCATGATCTGACAAACGGACCCGGTCGGAAACTTTTTATGTTGACAACTTTCTGTCTCTTATACATCCGACTCCACACCAGTTTTTTTTTTCACCGATAATTTTGGTACCCACCCGTACCCACGCACCGATTATATTATCCACCAAATATGTATCTGTCGTCCCCGCACCTTCAATCATCTCAAAGAGAAAAAAACCGTCGTCCACTCCCTCCTCTTCCCGACGCTTTGCCAGCCCCCACAACCGCCGCATCTGCGCCCCTTCTTCGAGAATGACCCCGGAGGCAACGGCGGCGGCAAGGATGCACGTGGCGGCAGCATCAGAAAGGATGACGACAAGTACGAGAAGGCCGAGTTTGGTTCGGTCCGCTGCCGGGGTGCGACGTGGTGGTCGATGGCAGGACGGCTCTCCTAGCAAGCCCACACCGCCGCCTGCCCCTACGCTCCCTAAACACTAGCCCCGCCAAAAGTCTCCGACAGCCGCTCACCTAACCATTGCCGCCGACCTCAACGAGGACCTCCGCCTAGGCGGCGGCCAGGCCGGCAGATCCACCCGACCTGCTTTCTCGGGCTGCGTCCGCCACTGATGACGAGGTCGTCGTTGCGACCTTAGCGCGCCATCTCTCGGGCACCGCCAAGCAGAGGACAAGGTGACATCCATCCCTCCTCCCTCGGGGCCAAGATCCTCTGCCGTATGGCTGTGTTCCAGTACACTCGCATCAACTCCTACTCTATCATACTCTACCGTGCTTATGTCTTTGGGCTCCAGTAATCCACTACGGTGTTTCACTTTTTGCTCAGTGCTCATCAGATGGGGAAATTGATATTTGACTGCTAATTAGTAAGGTGAAAATTTATCTATTATGGGGAAAAAATCTTAAATTCATTATTTTGCATATATGACCGTTCTGCACCCTTTGTTGGTTTTATTCTCACCATGTTTTTGAAACTTCAATAGTCCCAGTCAAAATGATGCATCATTAGTTTGTCAAATAATTTAGATATAGTCAATTGGTCACAAACCTCATGATTAGGGTACTTCAAAATTCAGAAAATATAATATCGAAGTTTGTAGTCAGGATGACAAAGAAAGTAGTCAAACAGAAACTGGACTGAACTACATTATCATTCCTATTTTCTGCAGTAATGAGATGTTCAGAGTGTTCACTCAGATCCTGCTATGACAGCTTCTTCCATGTTTTTGATGTTTGTAGATCCGACATTACAATTCTTATTTTAGAACGCTAATTTTCTTACGAAGTTTGGAAAGGAAAACCTTTTTTACAGAAATTTCAGTAGCCCTTCTATATTTGCTGGAACTGAATGGTCACATATGATATTTTGTGTACCAACTATTGCTTAATGCTATTGTGCCATCTAAACTCAGATCACTACAATAGTATTTTTTTGGAATGGCACTACAATGGTATTTTGTAAGCAATAAAAAGGCATACCTACAATATATTGGTGGTGGACTACAATTTTCAACTTTGAAGAACAATGCAAATGGTAACTAAAAATATATTAGTACTAGAGTTTGGATGCTAATCATCTAAGTAACCAAGAAAACTCTAATGCAGTATGCCAACTGTCAGCGTCAGATACTAAATCTTTCCCCATCCCTGGTCCCGCTGTAGATGATGATGAGGAAGATTACGATAGTCAATGAGTCTGAGCGATGCCTGCGAGGTGTGTATTTTTCATCGACTAAAAATGAGTTGTATCTTTAAACTAACTAGACAGATAAAATATGATAGACCAAAGTTCTATTTTACATTTGGGTAATTCCTATTGATGGATGAACTTACAAATTCTTTTATGCAGGTCTCTTCAGATTTGAGTATTGTTGACCTTGATGTTCCATTTGGATTGATGTTTGCTGCTGGTGTGAGCATAAATGCATATAGAAATCTGGGGGTATTGGCTGTTGTTACATGGAAAGTTCTATTCGTCTCTGTGCCAATTTTTGTTTTGGCAATCAGGTTGCAGGTAATTTTGTGAGATTCTGTTGACTACAGTTTTGTTGTTATATATATATATATATATATATATATATATATATATATATATATATATATATACACCAGTTAATGAGCATTATAGAAGTTGCAATTTGCATGTATCACCAGTTCACCACATCTATGCAAAACATTGAAACATTGGATAAAGTTTCTTTTCTGAAAAATGAGCCTGGAAGTTCTGTGATAGTTCTGTTGGAATATAAGTGAATTGCCCACCTCTCCCCATCAATTTAAGCTTTTGGGTTGGATTGGTCGGTGCATGCAACTTAATATGGTATCAGAGCCAGAGGTCTCGAGTTCGAATCCTGGTTAGCGCAATTAAATAAAATATAATTGTTGCTCGCTCCTATTCAACGTCACTATTCCACGTCTGAGGCCTGAGGGAGCCTCCACGTGAGGGGGAGTGTTGGAATATAAGTGAATTGCCCACCTCTCCCCATCAGTTTAAGCTTTTGGGTTGGATTGGTCGGTGCATGCAACTTAATAAGTTCATCACATCTTGCATTTGATACGCAATAAATTATTCAATGTACTTGTACTGCATGGAAAATTTTACTGTCTTCATAGCTTCTTGAAAGCCGGACAGGAGTGAATCAGAAACTGGAGTTATGGAGGGAGACTTTGGAGTCCAAAGGTTTTAGACTCAGTAGAACTAAAACTGAGTATATGAGATGTGACTTCGGCACTACTACTCGGGAGGAGGAAGATAATAGTTTGGAAGGTCAATTAGTGCCTAAGAAGGATACCTTTCGATATTTATGATCAATGCTACAAATTGACGGGGATATTGATGAAGATGTTAGCCATAGAATCAAAGCAGGGTGAATGAAGTGGCGCCAAGCATCTGGTGTCCTATATGACAAAAGGGTACCACAGAAGCTAAAAGGCAAGTTTTATAGGACGGCGATTAGACCTGCTATGTTGTATAGTGCATAATGTTGGCCTACGAAAAACGACATGTTCAACAGATAAGTGTCGCGGAAATGCGTATGTTGCGTTGGATTTGCGGTCATACAAGAAGGGATCGAGTTCGGAACGATGATATACGTGATAGATTAGGGGTAGCACCAATTGAAGAAAAGCTTGTCCAACACCGGTTGAGATGGTTTGGACATGTCCAACGGAGACCTCCAGAGGCACTGGTGCGTAGTGAAATCCTAAGCCAGGATAGTAACGTGAAGAGAGGCAGAGGAAGACCGAAGTTGACTTGGGTAGAGGCAATAAAAGGAGACTTGAAAGGATGGAATATACCCAAAGACTTAGCCTTAGATAGGAGTGCTTGGAAGACAGCTATTCACGTGCCTGAACCTTGATTGCTTCTGTTGGGTTTCAACTCTAGCCTACCTCAACTTGTTTGGGACTTAAAGGTTTTGTTGTTGTTGTTGTTGTTGTGTATAGCTTCTTGAAGTGAAGCCATGAAATGTTAAGATCTTACTATGTATACCTGATAATGTTGAATCACAAGTTATATTTGTTGCAAGAATGCAAGGCATGATATTTGGTGAATAATGAAGAGTATTTCTTAATCACTTATGATTTTGTATAAGAACTACTGAACTCTGAGCCCAAAGGGTTCAGAATGGAAACACCAAGATTAATTCATGACTACTTACCAAAACTACATGCATTTGGTATCGTTCATACAACAACAACAACAAAGCATTTAAGTCCCAAACAAGTTGGGGTAGGCTAGAGTTGAAACCCAGCAGAAGCAATCAAGGTTCAGGCACGTGAATAGCTGTCTTCCAAGCACTCCTATCTAAGGCTAAGTCTTTGGGATTTGGTATCGTTCATATTATGAATATTTCAGTATTGTCATCAGAAACACTAATCACTCCATTTTGTACATGTGCAGGCTTTGTAGGAATGGCAGTCTTATGGTCTATCCCTAAATAATTCCTTTGTTTTCTCTATCCAAAATCAGAAGGGCGGGCCTGGTGCAAGCGGTAGAGTCTTACCACTTTGTGGACCTGAAGGTCCCGGGTTCGAAGTCATGTCTCCTCAAGATTGCATTGCAAAGCGAGGTAAGGCTTGCCACTAACACCTTCCCTGGACCCGACAGAGGGAGCTCTCAGCTCCGGTACGCCTTTTTTTTTTCTCTATCCAAAACCAGTGCCAGCTATCAAATCAAATTATCTCTTTGGAAAAGGTATGCCAGGATTGGTGTGTTCGGGTCAAATATGTCATTGACAAACATGTACATTTGCACCACAATAGTATTTTTTTGAATGGCACTACAATAGTATTTTGCAAGCAATAAAAAGGCATACCTACAATATATTGGTGGTGGACTACAATTTTCAACTTTGAAGAACAATGCAAATGATAACTAAAAATATATTAGTACTAGAGTTTGGATGCTAATCATCTAAGTAACCAAGAAAACTCTAATGGTAGCCTCTTCGCTCATTGACCTGTAATGCATGTGGCAACTTGGCCAATGGATGCAGGATCTTTGATAGAATTGATAATCCAGACGAAGTCCTGTGGAACTCAATGCTTATAGGTTATGCTTCTAACAGGTATGGACTTGAGGCACCAGTGGCGGAGCCACCGCCGGCCACCCCGGGCGGCCAGCCGGGCTCGTCACCGATTTTCAAAAGAAAATTTTCTTTATATCAAAGTAGAATCCTGTAAATTTCTAGCTAAATATGTTTGCATAATAAGAATTGCCCGGGCTTCTAAAAGCTCCTGGCTCTGCTAATGTGAGGCACTGAAACTTCTTAATTTAATGCGAAGTAGGGGTCTGAAACCAAGTGAACCGACATTTTGTTGGTGTCCTTCCTGCATGTTTTACTGGATGAAGGAAGATTTTGGCATGAGCCCATCAGTTGGGCATTATGTGTGTGTGACTGACCTGTTAGTCCGAGCAGGTCAACTGGATGAAGCAGTTGAGTTCATAAAGAACATGCCTTTCAAAGCTGATGCAATTAGTTGGACTTCTATTATTGGAGGATGCAAAGCCCAGGGCAATGAGGCGCTGTTGCACAAGGTTGCAAACAAACTAAAGGTTACTCTCTCATCTCCAATTTCTATTTGTGTCCTCACTGATTCAGGGTTTGCTGAGACATGTTCTGCAGCTGTTATTGAACATCTGACGCGCCGGTGTCCATGGGACTGGTTACGTTTGGATAAAACCTCATAAATATTGGTAACCACTTGTCTCAATATGACGGATTGTTAGGCTCTACAAACTTTTATTTATCTTATCTTTTGTTTTTTGCTTACTTGTTCAGATGATTGTGGGTCCTACGTGAAAAGACGAAAGCAGTTAACAGGATGCTTTCATTCCATGTTTTCCTAAATTCTCTGTCCGTTTGCATTTTGAGACATGCACTGAAATTGATTAGGTAGTTAACGTGTAGTTTACATGATCATTTGTATGTCACAATGTTTTCAAGCTTGGACAAGACACTGATCAAAGAGTCTTATTTGTTGCACTTGTTGAATGGCTCATTGTATTCTTCATTAGCAAAATGTATGTGTGACCATTTTTCCTGGTTTTGGTGATGTCTAATTTTGCAATGCCCCTAGGAGGGTACAAAGATATAGAAAGTAATTTTTACTCAAATGAATCTCCAGATGATAATAATTTAGAGAGTAAATTTCCTTAAGATTTTTTTCAAGAATAGAGCATGACTGCAGGAGTGATCTCCTTCAAAGAAAATGAGTGCTTTGGTGCAATTAGCAGCCCTTTAGCTTATGATCTTCTGCAATATTGTTTACTTGTGTTAATCAATGACTAAGGAGTAATGATTGTCTACAAAGTGCATATAACACAATGAATGTCGTTCTCAATCTAGATATATATGGCCTCTTGTTATTACTATCATATAATATTTTTTTGGCCTGTCGTTTTCCTCAAGTGGGAAAGTTTTCTGTGTCCTCAGGGACATCCACCAGAATGAATAATTAATCAACAATAAACCCCTTGGTTAAGGATGGTTCTTCAGCTGAACATTTTAGGCTCATATCCTTTTCATCTGCCGTTTTACAGGACATAAGGTGATGACATATGAAGGGCGGACCTGGTGCAAGCGGTAGAGTCTTACCGCCTGTGACCGGAAGGTCCCGGGTTCGAGTCACGGTCTCCTCGCATTGCACAGGCGAGGGTAAGGCTTGCCACTGACACCCTTCCCCAGACCCCGCACAGAGCGGGAGCTCTCTGCACTGAGTACGCCCTTTAAGGTGATGACATATCTGTTACATTGTATGTTCCATTCATTGGCTCTTCTGTATGTAGTGTATGCTATTGTTTGAGGGGTTGAGGTATCGACAAATATTTTAACATGTTGTCTAGGCTTTTAATTCATTTTTTTTCTCGAACAACGCACGAGGCTTTTAATTCATTATATATTTTAAGATGCTGTCCAGGCTTTTAATTCATTATATATTTTAAGATGCTGTCCAGGCTGCTGATATTGTGATACGACCTTGTTAGAACAGTAATTTTTGGCTATTTTCTAGAAAATAATGGTAGTTATTGACCACAGAAGGTACATTGAAATAGATAAGCTGGCCTGGACACATGCTGTTAGGGAACTTAATCTTGCTGGACAGAAATTCTATATTGTTGTAAGCCATAAAGAACAAGAGTAACTTAATCTTAGAGTGATTTTTCTTTATGCATCACATGAAAGTTTATCTGTCCCTGCAGGCCAGAACCGTAGTACCATATGGTCCACCTACTGGTGATAGCCATTGCTGTTCCAAGAAAACGGTCACAACAACATTTACAGTAGATTTGTACAAGTGTGTTAGCATAAATGCACCCTTCTTTATGTTGATAATTGTACAAGTGTGTTGTATTCCAAACTCCAGCCTTCTTTATGATATTTTGCTCTTTCTCATACCTTACAACCATAAACACGTGCGTGTCGCACCTGCATTTCCACTAGTGAAAAACAAAAGCAAGCAGAAAAAATTTCGTACTAGTCACAACATATTACCAACAGACACATCCAACAAAAGCTTGACGAGAAACAAAATTCCGTCCAAATGATGCATAATAAGGTGGTCATCAGTACATACCTTCATTTGGCACTGGGGTTGCTGCATCAGTAATGCGGAAAGCGAAAGAAAGGCCTTCTGATCCATCCCTGCAGGAAGAATGTTTAGTAATCCAGTGATGTTAAAAAGAGAAGGAAACACAAAGGCTAGAGATATATTTATATTACTAAAGAAAGTATCAGTTTACATGTTTAAAATTATTTTCTTGACAACAGGCAAATTGAAATGATCTAAGCCATCAATCTAGAAGAACCGATAGATATAATCGAAGTTGGATCTTCTCCAAAATAAAGCACTAGGCATGAAGTAAATGAATAGCCACACAAGCTCTCACAGAGCAAGTGACACTATTGTAACCTGCAACAAGATGGCTTGTGCCACATGCTAGAGTCAAGCATTGTGGATACAAATAGTCCCTATGAAATAACAATTGTATTCAACACTAAAGTGAGATTTTTTTCTCACAATCTATTCTCTCCACACTCACCTCAAACAAACAAAAGTGAAGCAAACAGAAGCACCTTTTTGCTGAGAAGAAATAAATCAGCTAATTATTTCTTCACAAGTTCAGTCCTCTTACTCTTTATATTAGTAAATGTAATCAGGCTTTTAAGTTCTACCCCTAGAGTCTTTGAGAGAAAAAAATAAGTTCTAGTAAGTGAAAATTTGGGTCATTCAAAGCAATCAATAACGATATGAAGTGCTCCCCAGTTTCAAGCATTACAGATCATATAGCCAAGAACACACGTGTCTATTGCTTATGAACCAACATATGCAAAAGAAAGCTATAGCCTGCAAAAAACTATCAATATTGAACCCTATATGCATGAGATTCATATGCAATTTAACTTCGAAAAAAATAACACGACCCTTGCATGGACATTGTAGGACAGGGACACACTTCGCCACCTTTGCCAGAGGATGATGGCCAGACTGCACATGAGGTAGCGCTGGCAAACTTCATTCAGTCAATAACCAAGCCTATCCAACAACCCCTGCTTCCTCCACAACAACATGGCCTAGTGAAGCCACGGAAGGAAAAGAATAGGCCGAGCAAGCCGTCCCGGCGCAGTGCGCGCCTAGCAGCCATTGCTTGGCCGTGTGGTGACGCGCAGAGCAAAGCAAGGCAAGTGCTCATGAAGCGGCTGGGCGTCACACAGGAAGAAGGCGAAACCATGGAGATGACCTTGCTGCGCTACCTCAACCTCTTCAAAGGTTCGATGTCCGACTTTGTCATCAAGGCGCTGGTGGCACTCAGTGGCCTTGACGGACCAGCCATGCTGGGGCAGATTGCCACGTAATGCTTCCTTGCTGCTCGAGGACTCGTTCATGCCGTGCCAGGCCAAGCTGCTATAGAGGGCACTAAATGACGGCGCAAGGTGAGACTCGGTACAAGATCTTGTCGAAGATACCGGATGATGGGAGGAGGTCAAAGCGTTTGGCTGTTGTTCACCATGGGAAGCCGGAGCTGCTTTTTGCTGCTTGTGGTCAGTTCGGCACTGAGGACACACGGTGGGCGTCGTTGGCATTTGTGTTACCTCTGTGTCAGGGCTATGATGTTCTGGTGTCGTGGGTATTTTCTGTGTTTTAATCTGTGCCTATGTAAGGTTTTCAGGCCTGGTTTCCCTTATAAACTAGGCCAATTCTATTCTTCTTAATTGAAATGCAGAACTCCTGCTATTACTTTCAAAAAAAAATTATGAAAAAGAAGCAGCTGCATGCGAACCACACATTATAATAAGTAAACAGATCACCATTCATTGCTAAGGACATTACATAACAATTGACTCGATTACAATATTGTGAATATGCAAATAAATTATAGTGATCCATGTAGAAGGCCACTCATAGGCGAATACTTGCCTCTTTTCCTTCACTGGATCCTTATTTGCAAGCCTAGCTGTCTGGACAGCTGCGTCAGCAGTAGCAGCTTCTGGAGTTGCCCGCAAAATTTCACACAGGAGTTGCTGGCACTCACTCTAACAAAAAAAAGAAACACAGATGTGAAAGGAAGCATAAGAACTCAAAGAGAACACTACAATGGCAGGACTATACATTTCATCGCACAAGGCAGAACATGGTTATAACCCACACTACTGATTAACAGGCATTACATCAAACCTTTCCAAATAAAAAGGCATGGTAATATACCAAATTCCAAAACATGAATGGATGCATGTGATTTTTTTTCTTGGGGGATGCAGGAGAGCTGTGTGTCATTTCATTAAGAGAGAGTACAAAATGTATAGATTGAATATTAAAAAAAATCAGATCACAGTAAAAATGATAGACAGGTAGTATAACAGGATACCTGCACGACTGATAGAGAGAATGCAACACTGAAACCACCAGTAGCTTGCGAAGATTCAGAGTCTGGATTCCAGCTTGCATCCCCATTTGCAATATGAGGTGTGTTTACATTATCAACCTCAGATGTTGATTTTTGTTCAAGAAGTTCTCCAACAATAATATGGTTCTCTGACAAGCAAAATAAATTTTAATGTTTGCAAATCAATAAGAAACAGGTTTGTATGAAACCAAACTAACTGATACTTAGCACCTACCAAGTATCTCTACAAGACATTCAAATATTGATTTAAGAAGTTGAGTAGCTGCACGCTGAGCATCTCCTGTGGGTGCCATAGCTGGCGAAATGGGACTGACAACTAGTTGTGCTGCCATTACAGATGCACCACTCTTTGTTTTCTGTTTGAGCATTTGGAACCGGGGAATGGGTCCATTTGAATGCAACACATCAGAGGTTTTTGCAGCTTTGTCTATACTGGATTTTGAAGCCTCTTCAGAATATGCTTTAATCTTTGAAGTGATAACATCATGGATTGTAGGGCGTACTCGTTGGCTGTCATGAAAATGCTACTAATTAAAAACAACCCAAAAGTTAAAGTGAAAATCAAAATAGCATATGCAAGATTATCTTGCTATAAACCACAAAATGGAGTTCTAAAGAAATCTTTCTAACATGAGTAAACAACATGTTCTTGTCATGGGTTAAAATACTAACATATTAGATAGTTCTAATTGTATCTAGAAGGGAGGGAAGGGAGTTTGTTTGTTGGCCCACGGGATCACCATCTGACGATAGTGAACTAGTCTCCGACCACTAGTCTCCCAGACCACTAGTCTCCCAGATCAGACCGCTAGTCTCCAGACCAGACCACTAGTCTCCCAGACCAGACCACTACACCGGTTCTGTCCATACCCACACACTACGGATCGAGCTAGAAGAAGAAGGGAGAACAGAGCAAGCACGCACAATACAAGACAACAACGTTGGCCGAAGCCCTGTCTGTGTGATGGCAAATCTGAGCTCTCTTTACTGAGTTGCCATACATGTCTATTTATACAACTCTAACTATCTAGTCCATGTGCAGCGCCCATGCTGGCACAGTAACTAGATAACCTGACAGGACTGACTCTGCGCCGGCCACTGCCTGTTCCTACAGTGCTGCAGGTGAGCCATGCGGCGCCTGCACCTACAGCGACTACTGTATCACAGCAGGGGGTAAAGTCGGCGCCGCCTTCCCTTGCTGTGTTCACACACAGCAGGCAGCTAAGTCGGCGCCGCCTTCATCTGTTGTGTTCACACAAGGTGGCAGTAGATTAGCTAACATTGTTCTGGTACAGCGGTACTAAGTAATAAGGATGATCTTTGTACATATTTACATTTATTAAGTAATAAATAAGGAAGATCTAGTTCTCTGGAAGAAATTTCTATGATAACCGTTCATGACAATGTTAAGGCCCAGATAGCCATGGGCTGTGCTAGACCATGCAGAACCTTCTAGAATCAGTAGATTAGAAAGTATTCCAACAAAGTATCTGTTAGGCAAGTGGTTTGATAAGTTAGGAAGTACAGGATTATGTTTATAAAATCCCATCTATAGAGTGGCTTGAGTGCCAAGTTGAGTATAAATAGAGGACAATAGAAGGGATTTCCCTCTCCCTCCAGCGTTACTGTTCATACAGCTGCTGCCATGCCAACAGTACTGTACACAGTACCGTGGCCCTTCCTCAGCTGCTGCTGCCCTCTGCCTCTCCCTTTCCCTCTCCAATCAATCTAAACCCATAACAGATAAATACAGAGCTTATTCTTCTGTAAGAAAAATGAAAAACGGATAGGATGAGAAGTACCATATCACAGCTCCTGCAGCTGCAACCTTTCCAAGCATGGATAAGCATTGTACCAATGTTCTCAGGTACTTCACATTAAGGGGGGCATCTGCCTTTATCATTGATTCCTAAAGAAGCATTCAAAACAAATAAATATAAGTGAGGAAACTTGAGAGGAAACAATTACACAACCATGGATTGAGAAACAAAGACATACAAGAAACTCATCTGGTGTAGCACAGGAAAGAAAAATTGGGATTTCACGAGAAAAACTTTTCGAATCCTTCCGAGTGTGTCCATCACTTTCACTCATGTCTAAGCTATTATCATCTGGGCCATCAAATGAAGAACTGAAAAAAAAAACAGAGACACAAGTTGCTAATGTATTCCATTCATTTAAGAAAGGACCACAATTACTGAATTACATGAGTGTGATATAAATGCCACAAATTCTTAACATAATTCATGGAAGCAAACATCATGCAATAGCTTATGTCTAAAATAACTATATGCGTCTGTTTATAGGCATGATATTGTGCTGAGATTAACTAGATGTAAGCTGAAGTCTTCTGAGGATCACCCTGAATAAGTATTACTATGAAGCATATAATGTTCACAACTTCACATCAGGCAGATATTCGTCATAGATACCTCTAGTTGCTAACAAAGTTGCCATATACTTTTGTGCAATTGATAAAATCTCCAAAAGAAAACTTTTACCGTGATTTTTTTATAGTAATTTACTTTTATAACTTAAGAAAATTGCAATACTGTATGTCTAACCTATACATTTAATATTCATGACAAATTGCAGGTTTTTGGTCATTTATCACCTTTAAAATATTTTGCCTGGAAGTCACCAGAGTGAAATGCATTCTGACCCTTGGGCACAGGATTAAGTCACCAAAAGGCATATGCATCAAATGCTAGGAAGATTAGGAAGTTGAACATACCCTCCATCAACAGAACTAACTTTTGGAAACCCATCTACTGGCCCACCAATGTGATTGTCACCTTTCATTGATCTAATTCTCCTTGAAAGAGGTTGCATGCTATTTACCAAGCGCCCAGCAGCTGTAGAAGTCGGTACTTCCTCACTGTCAACCATACTTAAAGTCGCAGAGCTGCAGAGAAAATCTTGGAAAGTGAACAATTGTTGATCAATGATGGAATCACAGCAGTCAATTGCATGATGCATATTATTTACCACTACCAAAGGAGTTACCAAGAAATCACATCAAAATGAGATTTTCAGTGCAGAACACAGTCACCAGTGCCAACATCATTATAATTAAGTAAATATGTGATATGCCATAGAAAGCATGTAATATAAAAAAGAAGCGGCTACAGAAACAACTGAGAACTTGAGACCATCAAACAAGACCAGAAGAAATCAAAACATACCTATATTCACCATTGTTGTACAAATGACCATGCAGCTCTTCCAAAATTTTGTAAAATAGTACTCCTCGCAGCTTTGTTAGATCAGAACGAACATCTTGAAGAGCACCTACCTTTAAATTTTTGTTAGTTTGTGACATTGCTATGTTGGAAGAAGATTAGAAGAATATTTGCTAGCTCATTATAGGCTACACAGTTGTCTTGAGCCACATAGTATATAAGGATGGACAACAAACCCAAAGGACATATAATAATGACATAATAACTAACAAAACCTATAAAATATGTTCTGTCATCACTCTGGGAACTAAATGTGCAAGTGCTTAAATCTATTTAATAACCAAAAATGCTGCTGATCTAAAGTTTTAACAAATTCATCAATATATGTCCATCAAATTAAACTATGGGTAACAATAACTACCAATCTGTGTGAGATTTTGGCAAACCTTTATCCAGTTGTCAGAGAAAGTTGATAGAACTCTTACTAACTTAAATATTTGCAATACTTGTCGTTTTCATCAGGTCTAACAACTAAGACTAGCTAGGTACCCAGCACAATTACCCATTCATCAGAAGGGGCACTGCAAAAGGGGTTCCTCAGCCAAAAATGAGAAACACAGCCTAGCAGCAAATTTGGATCCTGGACACTCGCTGAGTTGAATGTCCAGGTACAAATTTTGCATACGCAAATGATGATTAAACTGACATTTCAACATAAATACTCCGGAACCTATTGAGTTCATGTACTGAACCATAGCTATTAACAATGCAACGACAGCACAAGTGCAGTTTAGCATTTTGTTGGATTAAAGCAAAGCATACAATATATGAAAACCTTAACTGAAAGGTACATGCAAGGTAAACACAAGATAACCCTTGCTCAAATTTTCAGAAAGGTAAAGCATGAAATAAATTTGATTGGTGTAGCGACTAACCGCTTGAAGGCCTTCTCGTTCTAGTATCAGCACTGATTGGACGTGCAATTGCACTGCAGCATACAGCTGCTTCTCTGCCATTAAGTTTTCAATTCGAGCAGGAACCTATGATATTCACCATGTTAGCAGAATAACTCCCTCAAGTTTAAGATAGAGTCAAGGTTGAAAAGTAGACAGAATGGTGTAAATAGCTCGAGAACAAATTGTGTGATTAAAGCTAATTCTACTTGTTCTAGATTTTTTTTTCACCAGATGTTTACCTCCTAACTTGTTGAGCTGAACCTATTGGCCAACTATTGTACGAGGCATCACAATTAATATTTGGCATGTGCATTCGAGAAGAAAAAACAAGATGAGCCATTATATGAGGCCGAGATCAAGCTCCAGTCATGCTTTTATAGAAGATTTTACATTAACGTGAAGTTTTGAGCTTTATTGAGCCAAGCTCAAACATCAAACAACTTTGGCTGAGCCAAGGCTGGGCCCATTTCTAAGCTCAAAAGTCGACTTGGGATTGGCTTGAGCCAAGGCATGAAAAGTGGCCTTCAAGGACCAAGTGTCATTCATATCCCATTTGACCCTAGAATTTGCGTCTGTCACATTAAAAACTTGTTCACATGATTTCAAGCCTTTTTTAGGATTTAGGATTTGTCTTCAAGATATGATCAAAACAACTTTGCTCTCCACAGACCAAACTCAACTTAGAATCTTTTAATAGTTTTGCTTTGGGATTTGCCGTGGATCTTTAACATAAGGGCAGTCAAAGCATAATCCATAAACCATTGGATTCTGCAAGAACCCTTGGAGAATATGTATCAGACATATATTCAGAAAATGGTTACTAAATTCACCTACTTAGATTATGTAAGAAGTCTAAGGTGGCAAGTTTAGCTGTCCAGCATGAAATTTACTCACATGCATATAATATCATAATGGCACAATTTCCTAGACTCTCCTACCCATAAATGATTGAAATTGGTTCATACTTTCTTACTGTCAACATCTGGATACTAGCTTACTAAAGTACAGACAGAATCTGTGCTATATGGAGGAAACAATATAGGGCAACACAGAGCTCTACAGCAAGACAGTTTGACCAGCCAAAATTTTGGCTAGGCCAGCAGCAGCCAATTGGGGCCTAGAACCAAGCAGGACCATAATATTGTCAGCAAGAGCACATAATCGGAAGAGATGAACAGCTTATAAACTGACCTTGGCAACATCCTCGACCTGATCCAAAAGGGAGAGCACATGGCGCAGTGTGAGGGACCGATACCACAGCTGGCCGAGGTGCTTATTCTTCCTGCCAAGCAGCTTCTTGGCCTCCTCCATCTCCCCCTTGAGTCCGGTAATGCTGTCTGCAGACTCGCTGAACAGCCGCAGGATCTGTCGCCACGGCGCATGGATGAAGAGGAAAACGGAAATTAAACCAACAGCTCCACGAGGCATGTTGAGTTCAGGTGCGCACGACTGAAGGGGCCCGTCATCACCAGAGAAATAAATAAAACAAAAGGAATCCCTGGGTGGGCGGACCGCGACGAACCTGGGAGTAATTCTGGATGGCCTTGTTGAAGCCGTGGTGGTAGGCGTGCACGACCTCGTCAACGACGTCCTCGATGAGGTCACTCTGCTCTTTGAGGAACTGGATCTCGCCCTCGCGGTCCTTGGAGGTGAGGATGTGCACGACGTGCGGCAGCGAGTCGAACCGAGCGGCCGCCCAGCTCTCGTCGATCCGCGACAGGCCTTCCTTGAGGTACTGCGCCCCCGCACCGAGACGACGAGAATTAGCATTTCCGACGATCACACTTCCGGGCCAGCCGACGCGAGGAACCACGGTGGGGAACTTACGGATTTCTCGGCCGGGATGGGGAGGCCATCGAAGATGCCGCGGCGAGGCCCGCTGCGGCTCATCGTGCTGGAGGACACCGGCGGAAGCGGAGGAGCGGGGTCGCCGTCTCGCGGTCGCGGCGTCGCCTCCCAGGAGATCCGGCCGGCGGTGGGGAACGGTTGAACGACCGCGTCAGCACAGCTGGTGTGTGTATGGTGATGGTGGTCCAGTTCCACAACCACAAGCAGAGACTCCATCAGCGTCCGTCACCGCGTCAGCAACAAGGAGCAGACGGGCCGTTCGGGCCAGTGTGCGTGTGTCCGGCCCACGGTAGCCGAGAACTGGGAAGTGGGTGAGAAATGGGTAGTAGGCCCATTCGGAGAATGGTGGAAGAGGGTCATGATTCAGGAGAGACCAAAATTTTGCTCAAAAAAAAAGGAGAGACCAAAATTGTTTTCAGTTTTATATTTTCACAGAAAAATAAAATCAAATGCTATAGAAGAAACAATAGGATTTTTGGTTAAACTAGACTAGATATACATTTTTGTTTTCCCCCTTACTATCTATTTCACATTATGACTATGTATGTAATACCAACTCTGATCACAAATATAAGTCCATATACATTTGTCCTAAGTAAAACGTTTATAAATTCAACCAACAATAGCTATAACAATATGTATTATCCACCAATGAAAAGGAGTCAAGAGTCCTTTGTCGAGCGAAATAGTGATGTCAATCTATATTTTTCTATGGTCATAAACAAATTTTAAAAATGACTTATGATAAACCTAAATTGGCTAATATTGGTCGGATAAAGTAATGCATTAGGGCTGTATGCATCGGAGGATGAAAAGGCTGGAATGAAAACTATTGTACTTTCTGAAAAAAGATTATAAAACACTTTGTTCACTATTCACCGTCATACAGAACTTGTTGCGTAGCAGGGCCGCGTTGGTCGGTACCACATGGTATGCAAAGATGACCCAACAATAGCGCATGCACAAGAAGCTGATGGCCGCGAACGCTAACTCGTCCGGACGGTCAAGAGCATATTTTGGACTCCCCCGATCCTGAAGGTACTAGCTCTGTCTCGTCCGACCCCAAGGGTGCGGGCTCTGTCACGCCTGACCTCGAGGACGCGGGCTCCGTCTCGCCAGACTCCTTGGGTACGAACTTCGCTTTGCCAGACCCCTGGAAGGGGGATTCCGCCTCGCCCGACGATCCGTACCGCCTCCAACCACTACGGGGCTAAGAGTACGAACCCAGAGTCAAACTTCTGACACCAGAAAAGGAGTAGGTGCGTCTTGACGTGGCCCGCGGACACGACGGACCATACCTTAGGACTCACGTCGCCAACAGTGTCGGGCATGCCGACGTTATGCTAGCTAATCCCCGTACGACTTCCGACGGGGTATTTGTCAACCATGTCGCCCGCCGAGACGGAATGGAGCGCCACGACCGGTGGACAACGCCCGCGTATAGCAATAGCGATGAACAGGGTCGCGACGTGGAGCCGTCTCCGTCATCAGCTCTGTTTGGCCGATACATAAGCCGGCTGAAGCTATTTTGTTGTGAAAGAAAAATACTGTAGATTCTAGATGATAAGCCGGCTGATAACTTCAATCGAGCAGAGCCATCGTCCGGGACCGGCGGAACCATGTATAGGAGACTTGACCCAGCAAGGCTCCACGTCCTTTGTCCATGTCCGCGCAAGGACAAAAGTCACATCCCCAGGATCCCTCTCAGCTCACAGGCCCCATTCCTCCCCACGTCAAGCATGTTCGTTTGCCTATGACTTATCGTAAACGATCATAAATTTTCAACCGAAACAGTATTTTTCTCTCACACAAACCAACTCACAGTATATCTTCACGAACCAGCGACGAAACGAACCAGCCAACCGAACAGCGGCTCAGGAAGGAAGCTTCCCATCTCCCTCCTTCCCACCGCCTGCCTGCTATGTGCTATCTGAACTCTGAAGATCAGTCAATGGCCTGAACCCCTGTCTGCCACAGTTCACAAAAAAGGTTCCATCATCGCCCAATGCCTTGCTTCGGTTGAAAGCCGCGCGCGATATCCGCTGCTGCTTTTGTGGAGTTCTTGAGGGGACAGACCGTAGGCAGAAGAGTTCTCGAGGGGGCGGTGGTTGTTTTGGCGAGGGGGAGGACGCGAAAGGTAGGCGATGCCTTTCAGCAGCATGATCCAGGAGATGAAGGGCGAGATCGGCGCCATCTCGTCGCGCGGCCTGCTGCGGTTCCGGTCGGACCGGCCGGGGGGTCACGCCGCCGCCGGGCGAGCGCCGGCAGCCGAGCCCCCGGACGAGGCGCTGCGGGAGAGCTGCTGGGCGCAGGTGCCCCCCCGAGCTCCTGCGGATGGTGCTGGCCAGGGTCGAGGACGAGGAGGCGCGGTGGCCAGGCCGCAGCGCCGTCGTGGCGTCCGCCGGCGTCTGCCGCTGCTGGAGGGCCGTCGTCAAGGAGCTCGTGCGCGTCCCGGAGGCGTCGGGGAAATTCACCTTCCCCATTTCTCTCAAGCAGGTTAATTTGGTTCCCGCTGCTGGAGGGCCGTCGTCAAGGAGCTCGTGCGCGTCCCGGAGGCGTCGGGGAAATTCACCTTCCCCATTTCTCTCAAGCAGGTTAATTTGGTTCCCCTGTCCACGAACTCTGAATCTCTATTATGTGTTCGTTATTGGTCTGGTGCTTTGGAAAAGGTTGTTTGTGTCACCGGATTTTTTTTTTCACCTTGAGTAGTCATTGGCAGTGATGGTATTGGCCATACTGCATTCATCGTTTGCTTGGGTCAAAGCCTCCATTTCCAGGTTGCGTGTGTGACCCTTGGTCGTCACTGGAAGATATCAGGCAGAATTCCGTTGTTGGTGTACTACCTACCTAGTCATATTTGTTTAATTTTCAGTTCTTGATGAGTACAAGAGTTCTGGGAGAGTTCTGTTGCTCTTCATGTTTTTATCGATAGGTTGTAAGAAGTCCTTCAGTTTCTTTTGGTTCTGTTTCTGGTTGGAACCAGGTTCCCCAGGCTTCGGCCGAGGTCTGGGTGTGGTTTTAAACTGCGCTGTATCGAATTTGGTCTTTTGACAATAGTTAAAAGGCCGGGGTGTTTTGCCCTGTAACTCTAAAAAAAAAGAAAGAAGGTTAGGTAAGTCGAGATACTACCCTGTTCGCTGTGGCTTATAAGCCGGCCGATGCTGTTTTGTTGTGAGAGAAAAACATTGTATCATGGCTGATAAACATGGCTGATACGATCAAGCGAACAGCTATTCTCTACTCAGAGGAGGTAAAGATTAGTAGACAATTCTTTATGACTTCTTTCGTTAAGTTAGTTTGCTTAGAATCAAGTATGCAAGGTCTAATGTTACTTTAGGAGCTAGTCGACTTGTTTTTACAGTTGGCTCTGTCAAATGTTACTTTAGGAGGTAGTCATTGTCAGTGATGGTATTGGCCATACTGCATTCATCATTTGCAAGGGTTAAAACCTCCATTTCCTGGTTGCGTGTCTGACCCTTGGTCTTCACTGGAAGATATCAGGCAGAATTCCGCTGTTGGTGTACTACCTACCTAGTCATATTTGTTTAATAAATTTCAGTTCTTGAGTAGTACAAGAAATTTGTCGAGAAGGTTAGGCAAGTCGAGATACTATTCTCTACTCAGATGAGGTAAGATTACTAGACGGATTCTTTATGAATCCGTTCGTCAAGTCAATTTGCTTAGAATCAAGTATGCGAGGTCAAATGTCACTTTAGCGGCTAGTCGACTTGTTTTTACAGTTGGCTCTGTCGAAACGGTGGACAGATTCTTATTGTCGTTTTAGTAAGATGAGGGTTAACGCTTGATTTGAGGTTTCTTTGACTCTGAAATTTTGTTCATCGATTTATTTTGGTTTTTATTAACTTGCAATTTCAAATCTGTAACCTGCAGCCTGGTCCAAGGGATGCCCCAATTAAATGTTTCATTAGGAGGAACCGGGCGACTCAGTCATATTCTCTGTGCGTTGGAGTCACTGATGGCATGCTTTTTCACCCCCCCTATATGTATGACTCTTGAACAAATACAGTGTGGATGTCATCATTGTTGATGGACCCTATTTTTTCTTTTGCTCTGCAGCGTTAGCTGATGATGGGAAATTTCTACTTGCTGCACGCAGAAGTCGTAGGCCCGCAGGCACTGAATACCTGATCTCACTTGATGCAAAGAATACATCAAAAGGTACCTGCATTGGCAAGCTAAGGTGAGCATTCAAGAAACAGTGTCTGAAATTCGAAACTTGCTCTGTTTTTTCAATGCCGTGCATTGGATCAAAGGTATTGCTATGACAGAGGCCTCGGTTTAACATATTCTTCTCTGTTAATCAGATCAAACTTCTTGGGAACAAAATTTATTGTCTATGATGCCCATCCACCTTGTGCGGGAGCTGTGGTTTCAAAGGGTCCGTCTGCACACATGATCGGTTCAGCCCAAGTTTCTCCTGGGGTGCCTGCTGGGAATTATCCAATTTCACACATTTCTTACTGAAGCGACTTTTGGTTCTAGGTATGACAAACCATGTGGTAGACATTTAGGGGGTGTTTGGTTCCACCTCCTAAACTTTAGTCGCTGTCTCATCGGATGTTTGGACACATGCATAGAGTATTAAATATAGACTAATTACGAAACTAGATGCACAGATTGAGATTAATTTGCGAGACGAATTTATTAAGCCTAATTAGTCCATAATTTGACAATGTGGTGCTACAGTAAACATGTGCTAATGACAGATTAATTAGGCTTAATAAATTCGTCTCGCGGATTACCGACGGATTCTGTAATTTGTTTTTTTATTAGTATCTGAACACCCCATGTGACACCCCACGTGACATCCGATGTGACACCTCTTAAACTTTAGCCCCTACATCCAAACACCCCCTTATTCTTCCAATGTTAGGTTCATATTTCTTTCGAAGAAAATGTTCTGCTATGAATAGACCATCATGTGAATACTTTTTTTTATGAGAATTACAAATACTGCAACATCATTTTGATTTTTTTCCCTAATGACTATCATCACATCCCTGGTTATACCTGCTAATTGAATTGCTGATAGCAATATTATTGTAGAGAATTGCTATTACTAGCTAAGCAAGCCAACATAAGACTAGAAGGATGTCTGAGTTCATGACATGCTAATAAATTAAGCGGATTCAAAGCTTTAGTGGAATAGTTATATTCCAGGACCTGCTTAGGATTATTCATTAGTATACAACCTTATACATTTACTTATATGGATCTAAAGCCAGAACTTGGTGGTTAGAAAGTAGCTATAGGTTTAATGTAACGTAAAAGAAAATTATATTAGCCGCTGACTGCTGGTTTATTACATGCGAGTTGTAAAGTTTGTCTAATGTTTTGCAGGGTGCCAAGAAAGATGAACTGTGTCATGGATTCCATCCCTGTATCAGCGATTAAAGGAGGGACTGCTCCCATGCAGACTGAATTTCCATCTATTAACTCCAACTCTTTTGCATCAGTTCCATTCTTCAGAAAATCAGGTCGTCTGGATAATTCAGGTGTTCAGCTAGCCACTCAGAATGAAGCTAAGATTGTGCTGAAGAACAAGTCCCCCAGATGGCATGAACCGCTGCAATGCTGGTGCCTGAATTTCCATGGGCGGGTCACGGTTGCATCTGTTAAGAACTTCCAGTTGGTGGCTTCAGGCGAGAGTGATCTGAATAACCAGGATGACGACGACGTGATACTCCAGTTTGGCAAGGTCGGGAAGGACTTGTTCACCATGGACTACCGTTATCCGATATCTGCGTTTCAGGCATTTGCCATCTGTCTGAGCAGCTTCGATACCAAAATTACTCGCGAATGAGTCAAGGTACGATTTTTCCTTTGCTGATAGTCCACTTTAGAAGCTGCTCGCACACACTATTTTTCTTTCTAAATGCTGTCCATCACCGGCATGACGTTTCTACGGTACTAGTATAATGCACATGCTAACGCAACGATTTTATCTAGAGAATGATCATAAAAACATCCAATTTGTTATTTTGTAGTTTAACCTTTACCCAATTATTATATTTTATAGCCTAATTTGTCATGAATATTAGTTAATGCAGAAGACGTACGTGTAGGAAGGAGTCGGAGACAGGGCCATTTCTGGAGACATCGAGCGTCAACATGATTGGTCGAGGATTTGCATTAAGTATAGTTGTATGTTATATTTAAGATGGTATACATGGACAAACGTTATTTGAAGAATAATCATGACAAGGACGTTGTGAAGAAACGTCGTAATGAAAATTATATTAAATATAAATATTAGAAATGTACTTATCTTTGGATATAAGCCCTTGTTTAGTTCGCGAAATTTGGATTTTGGGGTTACTGTAGCACCTTCGTTTTTATTTGGCAAATAGTGTTCAAACATGAACTAATTAGGCTCAAAACGTTCGTCTCGCAATTTCCCACCAAACTGTGCAATAGTTTTTCTTTTCGTCTACATTTAATGCTCCATGCACAAGCCGCAAACATTCGATGTGACAGATACTGTAGCAACTTTTTGGAAATTAAGGTGAAACTAAACAAGGGCTAAATCTAGTCGATGGTGATAAAGTTGTCCGGTCCTCGTGCTTTTCGGCCTGTTGTGACGGTGGTCGTGGTTGTCATAGCGCCGTTCTTCGTGGCAATCATCATTGCGACGTGGTCTGGTGGTCGAGGTGGTTGGAGCTCGGCGGAGCCGCTCGGGACGTGGTCGATGTGGTCGGAGCTCGGCGGAGCCGCTCGAGACGTGATCGACGTGGTCCGTGGTCGGAGCTCGGCGGAGCCGCTCGGGACGTGGTCCGTGGTCGACGTGGCTACTCGATCAGGCTACTCCGTAACCTTCACGCAAGCAAGGAAGATCTCCGACTGCGCCCGACCTCGGCTGGACATGTCCGAGGGCTTTTGCCTCCCCATGCGATGGAGCTAGGTACATGCCCTCCGACCACCGAACTGATCGAGCAGCCACGTTGACCACGGACCACGTCGACCATGTCCCGAGCGGCTCCGCCGAGCTCCGACCACGTCGACCACGTCTCGAGCGGCTCCGCCGAGCTCCGACCACGGACCACGTCCCGAGCGGCTCCGCCGAGCTCCGACCACCTCAACCACCAGACCACGTCGCAAGGATGATTGGCACGAAGAACGGCGCTATGACAACCGCGACCACCGTCACAACAGGCCGAAAAGCACGAGGACCGGACAACTTTATCGCCATCGACCAGATTTCTATCAAAGATAAGTACACTTCTAATATTTATATTTAATATAATTTTCATTACGGCGTTTCTCCACGACGTCCTTGTTTTCTCCACAATGGCCTTATTTCTTGATTTCTGATGGAATTTCAACAGAAAGTTCTTATTTACATCCATGACCGCGTCCACGTCAGTGCCTTCCTGCTTGGTTCCCCGAGCACAATTTCCGTTAACTTCGCTAGCAGTGTCAGTGTCTTCCTTCTTGATTTCCACAGGAATTACATTGTGACTATTTGCATCTACTTCTTCGGCCATGTCAGTGGTTTCCTTCATTTCCATAGGAATTTCGAAAGAACCATCTCCACTGAATTCACTGGTCATGTATGTGTCTTCCTCCTTATGTTCCTCTGGAATTGCAGTAGAGCCGTTTTCAGTTACCTTTCTCTCAGTCTCACATGTAGCAGCTGAATCTTCCTTAACTTCCTTGTTCATTCTCACAGCTTTTATTGACGTCCAAACTTTATTCAATAAACTGTGCTTCTTGCCCCGCAGATGGTCAGCCATGGCAGCGGCGTTGGTACAACTGACCCTGCAGCGCTCACACCATACATAGTTGCTTTTTTGAACAACCTGATGCATCTCTCCATCGACCAGGATGTGGATTTTCTTAGGTGCATCATTTGGGCCTGCACCATTGTTGTTCCCAGTAGTTACTTGCAAACCACTTTTATTAGTATCGTTCACCTTGATCGCTCCACATTGAACCAGCTTTGCCTTGTGCTTTTTCCCTTCAAGATGCTGATTCAGACCAGCCTCACTGGTTGCGCTCACTTGACAGAGTGCACAGCTCCAGTCCCTGGCAGCAGTTTGTAGTTTTGTTGGTTTAGTAGTTGCAGAACTCGCATCTGCCTTCCTCTTCACACCAGAAACCTTCATTTCTGATGAAAGAACCTAAAAAAATTAGGAAGAATTAGTGAAATCGAGGTGCATTGTGCATATGTAGCAAACCAAATGTAGAACTCACTGGAGCCTGATTGAATTATGTGACACCAACTAAAGGAATACATGGCAGCATGGGCACAACCGCACAAAACAATCAACAAAAAGATGCATCAGCAACCAATGAAAAGGCAGGAAAAAAAGATTAAGGTGACAAGGAAACTATTGCATAATTAAGAAACTGAAATCCACATGGAATAAATTTCTGTGTCATCTTAATCTGACCCTTCCTGATTCGGTGCTAACAATTTTATAGTTCTCAACTTAAAACAAACGGTGGTCACAGGAATCAAAGCTTGTTCACTTCTATCACTACCATTCTTTTTTTCTCCAAAGGGAATATTCGATCTTCTCTAGTTCTCCATACAAGTTCACCAGATCTGTCGAAATGGTAATATTTGACTTCAGAGTTCAAGTACTCTTCTGATCTAAGGGCAATGTTCTTTCTAGATTGTCCTCACTTACAGAAAATGGCTACCATTGGCACTTAAATGACGAGAAAAGCAAGTACGTCACGTTTTTGAAGCGAGAATAACACCGAAGTGCAATAAGAAATTGAAAAAGAAAAATTTCAAAAGTAGTAATCCAGTAGCGCCTTTAACGCCAAATGCGGAAAAGAATCTGAACACGCGTCATGCATGCACACTATGAACGGCTAGTGTGCTCCCAAACCTCAGAGCTCTCGCTGGGCGCGATCTCGCGCAGCTGGAGCTGATGCCTCGGCTTCGGAGGCGGCAGGGGCCTCGTTCTCGCCTCATTGGGGAGCATCGGTTGCCCAAATCCCGGGAGCCGCCGAGGGTTGAACCCCTCCCACGACCCGAACAAAGCCGGTGGCGGGCAGTTCGGATGCATGCCCACCGGCATCTGGGGCAGCGGCATTGGCGGCATGAATGGGCCATCGGGCATGAAGAACGGGCCTGGGGGTGGTGGCGGCACGATGGTGGGGCCGTCGGGCCCGACGAACGGGACGGCGTCGAAACCTCCGTGGAAGCCAGGCGAGCTCATGGCGGACCTCCTCCTCGATGAGCCGCCGCTCCACCTCCTCATGGATTATCTGCTCGCGCGCATCGCGCCTCCCACTCAAACGGCGAGGGCGGTGGCGGCTCGCCATGGAAGGGGCATTGCTGTGAAGCGGGGACTTTCAGAGGCTAGAAATCTGCAGTCTCGATCGATCTCTCGGATGGTAGGGCGCTTACCTTGCGGTGGTGTGAAGCGTCGGTCGGGCTGGGGCAAGAGTAGCGACACCTCCTCCGCCTACTCGCCTCCTCCGCCGACCATGGCAGGAGTAGTAGCGCCTCCGCGCCTCCGTGCATGTCCGGAAGTTCCGTGATTTTTGGCGGCGTGGCGTTCGTAATACCTCGGTGAAATGCATGACGTGGGTGTGGGGAGAATGAGGAGATTTGATACACTCAATCCAGACCCTCGATTGTGTAATGAGTAAGAAGAGAGAAGGCTTATAGTGCATCTGGACGGTTCGTTTGAAATGTGTTGTTTTCCTGGGTACACTTTTTTGGGTGGACTTAGAGGGGACATCTCAGCGTGGGGTCGTTTTCTTGTGTGGACGTAGGAAAGAAAATATGGTGCATAGCACTGTTTTTGTGGCACTGCTCAGCACTCTTTAGTCAAGTCATTTTGCTTGGTCCTTAATTTGTGCTACAAATCCTGTACGACTTTATTTGTGGGACGGATGTTCAACCTGCACCATTTTATTTACTTTCTTGTCTCATTTCCCAGCAGGTGCAAGGCAGATGAACCAGCAGATAAAGCAAGAGAATAGCCTAATCTAGACTTACCTGAGCTTTAAGCCGGAGAGTTTGGTGATAACTAATCATAGTAGAGCTGAATACTTCTTCTGTTCAGTACTATCGTGATGTAAATAGCAATCTAGCTGGAGTGGTTTGCATTGAGGGGTGGCTAGTGTGAACATCAGATCGGAGTATTGCGCTTTCGATTCAGCGAACCTTATATTAAAAGAAAATTGGTTCTATACCATCGAAAGAATCGCATTTTCGGAAAATACTATTGAAACATCTTAGACATGTGAAATACCATTGAAAGAATAACTAGCATTCTGTCGCGATTTGGAGCTAACACCGTGAATCCACCGTCCTCGCCTTCTTGCTTATCTCCCCTTCTCCTTCCCATCCGCTGAGAATCAGTGGACAAGCCTGAGCTTCGGCTTAGACCGAGTCCATGCGCACGAACAGACGAGTCACGAGTGACGAGCAGCTCGCACGACAAGGCAAGGCCGGCACCGCGCGGATGGGTGATAAGCAGCTCATGCGACAGGGCTCCGGCTCCACCTCGTCGACAGCTCCAGCTCGTGCGAGGGCGGCCGGGGCAGCTCGCGTGAGGTAGCGAGTGCGGCGGTCGCGGTTGTGATTGCGGGTGCGCGGGCGCAGAAAACGGCAAGGCGGCCGCGAATCCTCGGCCGGGCGCCGGCGCGCATGGAACCACCGACAAGGCGACAACATGAGCGCCAAGGCGAACGGGCACACAGCGTGGCGAGGTCGGGCATCAATGGTGTAGGCGGCGCGCGGTGATGTCGGGCCGCGGCTGCACACCCTGGCACATCGATGCTGTTCCAGAACTTGGTGTGGCGCAGGAGAGGAGACGATCCCATCCGAGGCTCGTTGTTCCGGTTGCATTTGCATTCGCTGGAGGCGGCGGCCGCGAGGAAGAGCTCCACCGGCGGGCCCCACTCGCAACAGGGCCACGGGTCCCACCGAAAGCCGCTGCAGCAGCGCCGCCGCATCAGGGTCACCGTGTATGCGACAGCTGCTGCTGTTGCTGTGCCGTGCTCCTCGATGTGCCCACGAGGCCACGACGGCGGTGTTTCAGGCTCCCAGAAGCTGCCGATGGCCGGCTGGCTGAGGTCCATGGCTAGCTTCAATTTCAAGCACACGAGAGTGATCCTCTGCGCATACCCATCCGTCCTCGATAGTATATTGGTTCGGATTCGTGTTTGCATTCCATCCGCATCCGCGTCATTCAGCAGCAGCAAGCCCATGCCACGGGCATGTCCTTGCTGGCAACATGCATGGCCCTCACATGGCTCGTTACGGGTTGTTTTAGCACCTTCCAAAGACCAGATTTTTTTTTCTACATTATAACTATATTTACATCGCCTTATTACTATATTTACGATAATTTCTTCAATATAATTTATTGAACAGAGTGATATAATTTGAATATAACACAATTTTTATTTCTATGGATTGCAAATCCTGTTCGGCTTACCCCATATTCAGCTTGTCCGGCTTCTTTTTTCAACTGGAATAGTATTTTTCTCTCACAACAATTCAACCAAAACAGTGTTTTTCAGCTAGTCTCAGCCAAGTTTCAGACCAGCGAACAGGACCAAACTTTTTAAAAAAAATTATAAATTATTTCTATAAATTACAGATATGAGAGAATATATGTTAAATTGTTCACAAATTTCAGAGCAAATGACAAATTGTCCACGAGTTGCAGTGGGATCGATTGGTTGCTGCCTGAGCTCGTGAGGCCTACGGCCGGGGGGTCGCCTGCATGCGCTGCTGCAGCCGCGTGCCTGCGCTTGGCGAGGTGCAGAAGGTGCTGCTCCCTCTGTTGACCACATGAGAGAGAGGTAGCAGGGCCCGCGCCCAGGCTGACAAAACGCAGTGGACAGGAGAAGTTGCATGCGCCCGTGTCCCGCCCGCCAGAACCAACCGATCCCGATCGGCAGGCCCAAAAACCGGTTGTTGGCATCTCCCAAAACAATCAATTGTTAGGTAGCAAATCTGTTCGAGTCTGGGTGGACGATCGGTTTAAACCGACAAATCGGTTCGGTTTGTTCGGTGATAGAAAACTTCGTTTTCAGATGTCGACACCCGATTGGTTGTTCGTAGAAGCAAGAACTGATGAGTTCTCCCTAAAAAAAAAGAACTGATGAGTTCGGTGTCGGTTTTGCTCAGTTCGTTTTTTCGGTTCCATCAAATGAGCCGAAGCAAACAAATCAGCAGAGCAAATCGACAGAGAAAAATAAGCTGTGCTTCATATGTAAGTACTCACATTACAAACTAAGCAAAGAGAAGAGAAAAAAAAAATAGAACGGGAGAAGCGCTGGAGCGGATGTGAGGTTCCTCATTTGTTCGCTTTGTTCAGACCATAAAAATGAGGCCAAAACCAAGAGCCGAACTTCCCAAACCTTAAACGGCGCTCCTAGCGCTAGGACGTCCGGATTCAGGGGCACGTCTGGACGCACTTCGGATCTGTCCGAGTGTCCTCCCGCCCCCACGCACGAAACCACTCCCCTCCCCTACACGAAACCACGCACGGAACGCCCCCCGCACGGAACAGTAGGCTCGTTTCGATCCCGACCAAAACAATGGTGCACCCTAGCCTCGGGTCCGTCCGACTCAGGCATCACTCGCCAGTCGCGGTGGTCCGACCTCCCGCCGCGCCGACCGCCCCCCCGCCATTCCATCGTGCCGCCCATCCTCCGCCGCGCCCCGCTAGGTGCATCGCATCCTCACCGCGCTCCCATCACAAGTATTACTTGTTTGCAATATCAAACAAAGCGCAATACGAGATGCAACATCAGAACAAAGTCTACTGCAACATCAGAATAAAGCGACTGCAACAACAGAACAAACCTACCGCAATGCGAGATGCAAGATCAAAAAAAAGAAACTAATGCAACAAAGAAATATTACTTGTTGCAACACCATAACAAGGCTACTGCAACAAACACACAACAAAGAGCAATGCGAGAAAGCAACATGAGAAAAAAGACTAATGCAACAAAGAAAAATTACTTATTGCAACAGCAAAACAAGGCTACTGCAACAACAGAAACAAAAGCGCGATGCGAGATGCAACATCGAAAAAAGAGACTAATGCAACCAAGAAATATTACTTGTTGTAACAGCAAAACAAGACTACTGCAACAACAGAAACAAAGCGCAATGCGAGATGCAATATCAGAAAAAAGAGACTAATACAACAAAGAAATATTACTCGTTGCAATATCAAAACAAGTCTACTGCAACAGAGCTCGCCGAAACCCTAGCCACCGCCGCGTTCCTCAAGATCCAAATCCAGAGGAGGATGAGGAAGAGGGCTCAGATCCAAGAAGGACCCACCTACCTCGCTGGAAGCCGTCGCTGTCACCCTCCTCTCCGGTGGCATGGAGGTCGCGGAGGGGAGGGAGGGAGGGAGGGGCTGCAGTGATCTGGCGCACGAGCGTTGCGGCCCGCAGAAGGGCGCACGACTTAGCAGCGAGAAAGTGGGTGCGGAGGAGCGAGCGAGCGGAGTGAGCGACTGGGTGCGGCGGTCACAGGACGGGATGTGAGTGGTTGGGGAGTCGAGCGGATAAGGCGAGGCGCGCGATCGGTCGAGTTGTGCGGGCTCCATCCGGACGGGATGGACGCCCGCACGATATCATTATCGAACCTTAAAACCGAAACCGAAAAAACAGACATTTCGGTTTGGTTTTTGGATTTGGTGTAAATTTGCCCAGTCTGACTTTTTGAGTGAAGCAGTTGCGTGGGTCGGAGGCCAACCAACGTCGTTAAACAGCGGAAGTAATAAACTGCTATATTTTGGAACGGATCCTCATTTTCAATTGTATTTTACGGACCGGTAAACTTTCCGTTGGTATTTTTCAAATGTCACGACCTTTTTCGATGCTATAGAATCAAATTTCTCTATTTGAATTTGAAATGCCCCCAGCTCTAAGCAGGAACATATCTAACGGTGTGCCAGGCCAGGGGGGCCCTCATACGGCCCTACCGCCGTTGATCCGATGGAGCCCATCCAAGAAGGTCCGTCCCTGCCTCTAAGGTGCCAGAAGGCATTGCATTACATCCGTCTGAGCACATACAAGTGTTGAAGATCTGGTTTGCATTACATCCATCTGAGTACATACAAGTGTTTATGATCTGATTTCTCCCTATTTCTGGTTATGTTATAATAACATCGTCGACAGATAATAGTTATCTGAAATATAGTGTCGCCTATAATATATATAAATGGTCTCAAATTGAGACAATACAAGAAGTAATAAAGTCTCCCAATACAAA